CCGCAAGAGAATTTTGAAAAAAACAGGTGTTTCGATGGATACTGATTTTGGAGAGACGGAACAAATAAATCCAGAATTTACAAAAATAATAAAAATAATGAAACACGACGAGGAGTTTGCCAAACACATGGAACATTTAGAAAATCAGGAATATGGCTTAGATGGTATAAAAATATTGTCCGTGGAGATGATGAATAAATCAGGTGAAAAGTTTGATATATTAGCAGAAAATTTAAGAGATGCATCTAACGTATCCGTTTTCCATGCATATATATATATACACATTTAAAAATGAGTGAGGACACTATACGAAAGGCAATTAAACAAGGCAATTATATTAAAAATGAATGTTGGATAAATTCACTAACTGATTTTTACAGTGATACAATCATGAATGAAAGAACCCGTAACAGACTAACCAGAGATAAAATTATTGAAATCATAGGTAGGACTGATTTTATGGAAGTAGGAGCAACCATTCAAGAAATGGAAGCAGTATTTAAGCAGTTTAATATTCAAGTTAGAATTTTTAATTTTGTAAATGAACTTATTTACAAATATAACCCAAAAATAAGAAACCGTCATATTAAAACATTTTACGCTATGGTGAAAAATAACCATATTTATACATTAAACCACGATTTAAGCAAAATACAACAAAAACAAGTAATATCAAAACTACCCACTATAAAGGCACACACTGATTATTATATAAATGAAAGAGAGGAACCCCCGCAATACAAAATGATTAAATGTATAGATGATATACTCAAAATAAAAACTGATGATAAAACAAGGGAAGTATATTTAGTACCCGAAGATAATGATTTGGCAGAAATATGTTTTCCAGTTGATAAATATTGGATATGAACCCAGAATTAAATACACAGGTATTATTGATGAAATTAGAGTCAAATTTAACAAGATAACATATATCATAAAGACTCAAAATTTAATTAAATCATCCAGCGATGGTTGGATCGCAGCAAATAATGAAACTATGTACAACAATATGAATAAAGCAATGTTTAATTTTAATAAATCTTTATTTATTTTATCTCACAAATCTTTTTATAATGACATTGATATAAAAATATTAAACGAAACAAGGACTGTAGCACCTTCGGGATTATTATGGGATAAATTTAATTTAATGTGTAAAACTGAAATCGATGAAAATAAGGCATTTACAAAGGGGTTCATAGATATTACTGAAATACCAGTTTTTAATCAGTTTGACAATTGGAAAGAATACAATGATGCAATTAATATTGTTGAACTCCACGATCTAACATTATATTATATTGAAGTTAACTATCCGAATATACCAAATAAATACAGTATGGAACGTATTAAACGTAAACATCTTCTGGAGGAAAGTTTAAAATTTAAATCAAAAGAAGAAGTTGAATTCATCATGACAAAAACGTTACTGGGGAATAAAGAGGGCTTAATGTTTAATAAAAAATATAATTTAGTTTATGGTAAGTGTTTAAAAAAGTTTATTAATCAATGTAATATTAAAGTATTATATTATAAACAACCTTCGTTTATTCATAAAACAAACTATAAGGATATGGTTAATGAACTTTGGAAAACTACTATAGATGAAGATGATGATGATGATGATGATAGGGACATAGATATACTAAGTAAAAAATTAATAGCAAATGTCAATTTTGGATTATTAGAGAAGGGAGAGGCTACCGCACATCAAAGCATTTTGTTTAAGAGTATTGATGAAGCAATCCATTATCAAACAGAATACGGAGGCAAAATTCATAAGTTATCACAGATAGAAGGCAAAATTCATAGGTTATCACGTATAGGTACAGAAGACGAAGAGCGTGAGGATGAGTATGAAGAGTATACACGTGAACTAGATGAAAGAAATATAAAAGCATCATATTATATATTAAAATTAAGGGATAAAGCAGTGTTAAGAAACGGCTATAGATATATTAAAGAACTACTCATGCAACATCATAATTTTAAAATGAACCAAGACATTTACAAATTAATAATCAACGATATTAATGTATATAGTGTGAAAACCGATGCTTTTGTAATTGATTCATACAATGTAGAGAAAGCAAAGCAATTATTAGAATTTCATAATGATATAGGAGGTTGGAAAGTTTCTGGGCGAGACAATGAAATTAATCTTCCTACTGTAAAATATGAAGTTGTTAAGAATGATCTAATAAAAATACCAGTTCATGAAAGTAAAACTATTGATATTAAAGATGAATACGACACTGATAACATTATAGAGATTGTTAAACAGAATAACCCTATTATGATCAGGGGCGAACTACCGGGCACAGGAAAATCATATATATGTCAAAAAATGGTTGATAAAAAATATAAGGTAATATTTATTTGTCCTACTAATAAATTATTACAGGCATTCGAAGGTGAAGCAATGACTATAAATAAGTTTTTTGGAATAAACTACGGCGATGCAAAATTAGAACCATTTGATTTTACAGAATTTGATGTAATCGTATTTGATGAAATTTATTTCAGTAATTTAAATATATATTGGAGAATAAAACAATTTGTAGAGCAGAATAAACACAACAAAATTATAATAGCAACGGGAGACACCAAGCAATTAAAACCAGTTCAAGAGATAACAAATACTCGAGACTATGAATTATATACTGATAATATTATAGATAACATTTTTGAATATAATATTTTGTTAAAAGAATGTAAGAGACTTAACACACAGGAAGATAAGGATAAACTAAGAAATATTAAATTTGATATTTTTGAAAATAAATTACCTATTATGAAAGTTATTGAACAATATTTCGAATATACAACTGACATAAGCAATTCTAACAACAACATAGCATTTTTAAATACAACTTGTAAAAATGTCTCAAATGAAATTAGAAAATTAGAAAATAGAAAAGATGAATACGAAGTAGGCGAATATTTAACATGTAGGGAATATACTAAAACTAAAACATCAGTGTTTAATGTAAATTTCAAATATAAAATAGTTCATATTGGAAGCGATGGAATATTTACAGTAAAGAATGTCAAAACCGAAATTTTACAAGCAGTAGAAGTTGCTAAAATAAGAAGCAATTTTATATTTGCATATTGCTCAACTTGTCATTCTGCCCAAGGCAGTAGCATTGATGATACCATAACAATTTTTGATTATAACCATTTTTTGGTAAAGAATTATCCAGAATGGATATGGACTGCAATTACAAGGTGTAGAGATTTAAACAAAGTTAAATTTTATAAATATACAAAAGATATTGATGATGTATTTAATCAAAAATGTATTATGAGTTATTTTGAAAGGAAAGTATTAAATTACAAAGAACAGGACAGGAAAGCAAAAAGAACCATATCTAAAGAAGGTTATGTAAATACACAGTGGTTTTTAGACAATATAAATAATCAATGCAATTACTGCGGATGCGGTTTTTCTATGGACATGAAAAATGGTAATATCATTACAAATCTAACAGCACAACGAAAAGATAATGAATTAACTCATACAATAGAAAATATCATTCCTTATTGTTGTCGTTGTAATTGTAGTTGTAAATGATAAATACCGTCAGAAATATTAATATTATTTTTAAAATGATGCATGAAAGAGATAAGATATATACACAATTTAATGGTTATCAATTGAATTATTATCCTGAACTTAAGTTATAAAATTCTATCTACCTAACCTTGCCCATAATTTTGTCTACAAAAAATATGATAAAAATATTGTAAGATAATTTATCATAATTTTTGGAATAATATTTTTGAAAATTTATTTTTTGAAAATTTATTTTTTGAAAAATATTATTTGGAAAATTACTCTTTTTTTTGAAAATATTTTTTTTGAGAAATATTATTTTTTGAAAATATTATTTTTTGAAAAATATTATTTTTTTGAACAATATTTTTTTTTTATGAATGAGCTTAGCCTTGCCCATGCATCCTACCATCAATAACCATATCATATGAACCACCCTATACTTCTATTTCCACTCAAGCATCCTAACAATGACAAGAATGATGGAATAGAAAATGAGAAAATGTGACTTTTTTGATGGATTTTGAGGCTGAGACTGTTATGAAATGTTTTGAGTGGAAATATGCATAATGAATAAGGATGACGATTTGAATAGTGAAAAAATGGTTGAAAAATGCTGTTCTTGCGTAGGGTGGGGGTCACGCTCGGGTACCACAAAAAGATGGGCAAGGCCTACCCTAACTCATAGCCCCCCCTAGGGGTCCCTATGAAGGCAACGGATGAAAGTCGTGAATCCTCCGCTTGAGCACCTAAAAACTAATTTTGATTTAAGGCCATTTGATGGACACATATTCACCAAACATCTTTAGGTGTCCCCGTTACGAGTTCAGACTTTCACCTTGAAGCCCGTGCAGTGTGTCCTCTGCATTCGTAAGACCTCGCCAAACAATGGAAATTGTGGAAAAAAGAGCCACCCAGGGCATAATTCCCACACCAGGGTGCCAATCAGGTCGCCTTTGGCCCACTTGAGATTTCAGGGCCCCTGACTCCCCCCACCCCCTTGCACAAAGGTATAGACTCTCATGGGTCCAGCAATGTGATGCGATGGTGGACGTCCACCAAAGGGTCCCCAATTCACTTGCCCAAAGGACCTTGAAGTAAAGGTTAGGGCCATGACTAAAATGCAGCGAAAAGGGAAATAAAGATCAAGTCAACAGATTTCATTCGCTTTGGGGAACTAAGATGACCATGTAGAAGATGTGTACCCTCTGCCATTTCTTTCCGACAATCATGCCAAGTGTGTTCCGTAACCTTTCGATCCCAAGAGGAATGCAAGCTTCCAAAGCCTTTTGTCAGCTCCCATTGTTGGGAGGCTAGAGGGTAGATAGGAGCGTCTCTTAGGTATCCGTTTCTCCCTGAGTGGGATTCAAAGGGCTCCGGCCCAAGGGAGTGGGTCGTAGGTCGCGGGCGGTCGACTCGAATCGAGGAATCCGCGGGCCTGTTGGTCATGTAATCCAAGGGCAGTCCGCTGCTTCGGGCCGCCACCTTCCGTGATTCCAAGCGCGGCTGCCAAAGTCAAAAGGTCCAAAGTGTACAGAAGGGCGTCCGTTGGGATAGCCTCCCACTATCAGGGCTGCCTATATGTCTCACCTTTCATGGGCCAAAAGGTGATGCTTAAAACCACCAAAATGGGAAATATAGACCCCTGGCTACAGAGGGTCGCTGAAAAGGACATGGATCTTCCCGCTATCCTCTCACGAATGCTACGTTAGTGGGAGGCAGGGCAGTTGTCTTCTGTCCTTTGACATCAAACCAAAGACCTGCAGACGTCTTGATGGAAGCTCCAAGTCCTGCTATTGGACTACATCCACTTCGCACCGGTTGGGATAGATCACAGCATAAGACTGGGATAAAAACCACCTACCCACTGGTGAAAAAATGAGTTTGACCATCCACAGTATTTCCCTGGCAAGCTGGCAATCGCTCCTAAGTGATGGTGCCGGCAAAACTCCTTCTTTGCAAATGGGCCCTTGCGTCATGAACCCCAGCCTCAGCCATGCATAACTCTTTCTGCCAGGTGTGTAGGTGTGCTGTGCTCACGTTTGACAAGCTGGGAAAGGGTCGAGTCAGTTTCAGAGATTCATGATATATTGAGACGTCGTCCCATCCCATAGGCTGATTCATTCGCCGGAGCTGAAACGACGCGCTTCTGCCTGAAACCATTCTTACGCGCTGCAAAATGATGCAAAGGCCCATTTCAAACCCAGGCATGCCCCATGCTCAACATCTGCATGTGTGATGCCGCACATGTTGGTTTGGCAACTGTGTAAGCAAGGCTTGTCGAGGCTTGAAAACAGTCGTTGTCTTGCAAACCTACCAAACGTGCACAATTAACTCTCAAACCGCGGATGAATTCAAATTGTTCTCATTTCTCAAAAGCCCTCAACCGATTCAAAGGTAAGCACCTGGTTCGATTGCATGACTCTCGGGGTTGATTCCCATTTGTTTTCAATCATCGTTCTTTTCAAAAACCAGCTGTTTCCCCAGGGGCTCGGGTGGATTTTTTAGAAAGAAGGATGCCTGGAAAGAATGGAAATGGAAGGTACCCCTAGAATGACAACAACTTAGAGTCCACAAATGGTGCAAACCAAGCAGTTTCCGGCAGTCGACAGCACCGAGCGCTCGCAGGAATCCGCCAATTCTCACCCTCAAAAAGAAGCTGACGCACTCTGGGCGAAACCAAACGGATTTGGGGTGTGGCTCAAAATTAAACAGGAGGGGCAGACCGCAGGTTTTGGTCCATGTTTCCATTTACCAGGGCAACCCATTTTGGTACCGGTTTGTTGAGCCACAGCTATTTTGGCTTGCCGAGGTGAAAATCGGGTACGCCTGCATGTTGGAGGTCAGGAAGGACATGGAGTTGAAGAGCCCACTGATCCAAATGGATTTCAGCAGCTTCCTGAGCCGGATGGAGCCGATTTTGAACGCCTGAATCGAAGCCATTCCGCGAACAAAAGCTTCTCGAAAGCGCAAGTGGAGCCGTGAATGCAAATGCGAGCAAGGACAGTTTAATCCGCGTCGCTGCATGCCTATGCCTTTCAAAGGGCCGAAGAGCCACGTGACATGATACGCAGGAATCCTCCTTATATGATGCTGCACCCAAGGTTAAAGAAAAGGTGACAAATGAAGAAGCAAACCGGAAACCAGTGCCATCTGGTTTCAAGCAAACTGACCTGAGCCCCTCACATAGGCCAAATCCCAATTAAGCCAGGTAGCAGGACCACCTATGGCCGATGGGATTGTTGGGCGCTCCAAAAGAACTCACTTGTGGCCACTCTTTGCGTGCCACGGAAAGCAGAAACCAAACTGCTAGTGCGAGAGATGCAGGGAATGAACAATTTGGAATGACCCTTCTAGACCATCCAACTGGTGGGTTTCCTTTAAGGGGACCAAAGCCTGGGTTCATTCCCACCCTAAGGCTCCTGGGGCTTGGTACGCAGAACCTGGGGGTCCCCATACCGTCTCAAAGCAAGCTATTTTAGAGACCCGTTTTTCCATCAGGGGCCTTAGGGCACATTCCCTCCTTGTCGCACCAGCAGGAAACAGCTGCAAACCAAGTCTCAGCGCGGCAGTCCACTCGACCACTTGCTCGTGGCGCTGCACCTTGGAGTGGTTGTGTTGTCCAGAACAGGCCCAATGTGGCATGGCTGGTGGGTTTCTAGGTCCTCCAGATTTGAGAGGTTCGAATAAGGGTACCATTTTTTTTCTGTAGAACATATTTTAGTAGGGGAACCCTCCCAACCAAAAAAGAAACGGTACAAAGGCACTACTGGGGGACCTAGGTTTGATTTACTTTGAAACCAACCAACAAATCTCCTCCGGGCTTTTCTATACTGGGCTGCCCTCAGATCCCCAGCTAGAAGTTTAACTGTTAGTGGGTGAAATGGAAACTACCACTAAACACTAAAAAGCTAAAGGGCTAAGGGGATGGCTGGGAGCCACCAAGTATAAACACCTACAATGAGTTCCCAAAATATCAAACACCGATTTATGAGCACATGAAGACCGATGGTCGGTTTTCTTTGGGTTTCCCTATCAGCCCGAATAGTCCCAACAGCCCACAGCAGTCGCTGGGGAAACTCGACCAACGTATTCCCCAAAACGGACACACCCATTTCTATGCCGCGCCCGGTCTGAATATGCCTCGAATGCCGCCCAAAGAACCGACACTGCTGTTTTCCGCTATGCACTTGGGGTTGATCGATGAACATGGAATGACCATCAGGGAAACCACCAAAAAAGATAAATTTCCCCACTAAACGGCAATTATATATAGTGTCAGGAGACGATTACTACACCCCCCCCGATTAACGGTTTCCCCTTTTCCCCCCCAGGTTCCAACCAACACTAAAGTAAAGGGCCAACAAGATTTCCCAAAAAACCCTACCCAATATTTGTTGGGCCCTCCCCAAAACCCCCCCTGATTCAAGGTATCCCTCTGCAGCCCCCAAGCCACCAAAACCTGCCAGAAAAGGTGCTTTCCTTCTTGCTTAGTATTTGCTTTGTCTGTGCTTAAACCCAAAAATACTAAGTCACTATTGAACCCCTCAAGTTTTCTCCAAAAATGTGCTTCCCCCGAAATGTATTTGTCTTTATTAAACATTGTTTAAAATGACAAGGTTTTCAAGCTCACAAAGGGGACCCCCCTTGGAGGCCAGTCCCCCCCTCATTAACAGAAAACCCCCCGCGATTAATCAGGGCCCTTTTGCGCTCAACACCAAACAAGTATGCTGTTTCCTTTTAAAGTCCTACTGCCCCGAAGGGACCAGAAGTAAGAGGACGAGGACCGAAGAGTAATCAGGGGGGTCCTCCCAAAAATCTCATTGTTTGGGACTTGTCCAAACCTTGTCAAGGGGTGGGCGGGGGGGCGGTTTACTAATCAGTTGTCACCATTATATATATATATATATGCTCATTTCGTGGCCGAACGGAATATTGATCAACCCCCATTCGTATGGTTTGGTCTCTTTGAGATGGCATTCCCGCCTGGAATTTTTGGAGCAACCCTGCTCTAAACCGCGAGGTCTGGGCAAACAAAGCTGTCATTGGAGCAATGCATAAGATCGACAGCCAGGAATCCTGGCAGTCACAGGCTGGTGACCCTGTCGACTTCTTGTAGGCTTCCCAAAGGAGCCAGCTGGGTGTTTCTTGCTGGGGAAATCTCAACTTGGCGGCTTCCGGTGACCCAAAGAGAGGCCCAGCATTCTTTAAGAACCACCTGCATCAACCACTCCCGTTGTGCTAGGAGGCCTGTGTCTCTCGCACAAGGCAACCATTTCGAGGGGTCCTACTGGCGTATTCACTGGCTGATGATGCTGATGGTTTGGCTGTACTGCCTCCCAACTCCGCGAAACGTCGGGCAAGTACTTCCCCCTTGCTTGCAACAAGCAACAGGGCGATCGAAGGCATTGCTAGTGCGCAACTGGTGTTGAAGTGTACGGAACCAATATGTGATGGAAAGCCCCCAGAATGACAATGTCCCCTTTACGCATCACACGAAAGGAAGCCCACGAATCAAACTGTCCCAACTAAGTGATGTGGTAAGCCGCCACCAAAAGAGCAAAACATGGGGCAACTGACCGAGGCGGGCACGAGGTCAGCGAACCAGCTGGACAAGGCTTTCAGGGACGGATAGGCCTCGCAGGATGCGAGCAAGGCACGGAAGAAAGGCCTGCCAGAAGAAAGATGCTTGTAGATCTGGTGGAAAACATTTGGCTGGGAAGCTCGTTTGGGATGCTCAACTTCTTGCTATTTCCAGGGCTCCGATGCTACTCTTTGGACACAACCATTTAGAGAGCCAACCCCGAGTCTTGATACAGCGCCAACCAGAATCCTCCGCACATCTGATACGTCCAAACAAGGCTGAGAACGCACTCCTGCAGATTCACAGTTGCCATGCTTTGTAGAGAAACCTCCTTTTTAAGGACCCCTTGTTCGAGTTCCATCTCAATCTGCAGGGGAGTATCGACTTTAGCCGAACAAAATTACCAGAGCTCAGATGCCCAGTGGCCAGGGGAAGCAATGGGCATCCTTTTCTGGTTGGTTGACTCTTAAAAGGGGAGCCCTTCCCCAAAAAAGGAAAAAGGCACCACTGGGCAACTGGGAGAGGGATGCGAAAAAAAAAATGCAAAACCGAGGGACCAACAAAACCTGAGCCCCTAGTAATAGCGTACGCTGATCCAGGGTTCTTTTATACTCGAGTTTCCCACCTGGTGGTCTGACTCACAGCTAAGAACAAATCCGGGGACCGGACTAATCAGAGGTGATTCCCCCTTTTAGTACGGAAATCTGAACGCATCCATTTTAGGGGGGCTGCTCTGACTAGTGGGGTCCTCCAGATTCATCCGAGGTTGACCTTTGCGGTGAGCAAGGGGAAGGAGGAAACCCACAAAGTTGAGTCTCACTTCCTGATTGTCTTTGGCCAAAACAAGTTTAAACTTCTTGTTTGCCCCTAAAATGGTCCAAACCCGAAAAGTGACCCAAGTCTGAAACGGAACGTAGGAAGTGAGGATAATTGCGCCCATCATCCCAACTGGGTGTGTCAATGCAAGGGGCAAAATCATCAGAATTGGGCTGCTCCCAATGCCAAATGTCATGAACAGTGGGTAGTGTGCCCCATAATTCTAAGCAAAAGTACATGTTTAAGGGTAGCTTGAGGGTCCAGGTAACTATTCAGACCCTTATATTATCCCAGGACAACTGCTCATTTCCCGCGTGGATCGGCCAAAAAAGGCCTGCAGTGTTTGTTCACCACCTCTCCAATCCGAGTTCCGGAACTTGAGAAGCAAAGAAACTCCAAGCCTTCTCCGCCCAGTAGGCGTTCACCTTGTTGGCCTGGAGGTCGTTGCTCAGCAACTGGCCGAATCCAGGCGGCTCGAAGGGAAAACCCGGCCAGCCGGCATGAACATCTCAGCTTCCCTCTAATTGGTGGGTGGGATTGGTGGTTTGGATTGGGTTACCTAAACATCTTCTCAGAAACAAAAAAAACAACAAACATGATAAAATCGACAGACGTGAAGGGAGACTCCCCATGTTTCGACCCCGCATCAAACCAGCTTCAAGTGGAGCCAACCTGCGGCTAATATTGGCGAACGTCCCATATCGGGCATCCGAGGATAACCATTGGAAGCCTGGGCTCTGATCATTCAATGATTTCCCTTGTAAAACCGGCAAACAGCTGTTTGTTTGATGACCAAACACCCACCAAACACCTCTGCGAGCCTGAGTCAAACTGAACGAAGGTGAAGACTTCGCTGGACTTGGGGAGTGGACATTGTCTGATTTCCACGCATCCCCTCGCTTTCCCCGCCTCCATCTTCTCTGTCACGTTGAGTGCGCCGCTGATGCCTTAGGGGCAACATATAACCGCTACATCTCACTTCCCGAGTGGATGGACCAAAACAACCACTCAAAAAGTGACTGAAGTCCAGGTTTTTCCCCCCTTTTTGGCACATTGACTTGAGGGATACCCATCCAAGTTGAAACCACAGGCCTGGGAAAGAGAACAGTACCGTTCCCAAACGATTTGGTGGTCTTTCAATGGCCTCAGAAGGCTTCCCCCAGAAGGAGAGAGAGGTGCTAGAAGTCTTTTGCCGCTTCCTGATCCTGCCTCTTCGGCTGTGCCTTGGCCCTGTTAGACGAATAGATGGCACTGGCAAACGATAAGTCAAACTGAAACCGACCTCAAAGGAGCCCTATGCGTGTGCAATCATTCGCATCCTGAAAAAAACAATTGAACAGCGTAAAGTCATAAATGAATCTGTTACATCACCTCAAGAGGTCCTGTTTTGGATTCCCGACTCCCCGCAAACTTGGGTGATCTGGGCGCAAGACGCCTTTTGCTACTGTGCATTGTGTTTGAAAGAAAGGGAAATCACGAGCAAGCCATTTCGGAAAGCACAAGAAACCAGGCGTGAGAACTGCCTGGATGCAGCCCCGAAGTCCCGATATCGATATGACGCGAGCGCTCTGCCGGGTCGTGACTAAACCCAACCACGGACCAGAATGAAAGGGGAAGGTCGAGGTTGCTCCTTCTTTCTTGTTGGAAGCAAGCTCAAATTTTAAAGGGGCCCTCTGTCCGCAAAGGAGCAACAAGGGTCTGAAAACGTTTGGGGCACGTCTGGCCACAAAAACCAACAACAAAACTTCAAGAGATCCCAGCGAAGCCTTTCCATGCGGTTCAGGTGCCCAACTCCAACTCCAGCAGAGATTGTCGGATCTGGTCCAGAAGCCCGTTCACGCGGTCCGCCTCGCCCAAACCATGACATGCCCAAGTCAGCACCCCATGCATGAAGACCTGATGTCTCTCTTCACCTGATTTGTTTCAAGAAACCAATATGAAGCCATCTGATCAGGAACACAAACACGCACACATAATGTGACCTCTCCTTGAGGCAAGCCACAAGTTGAAGGACATGCAGAGCAGCCACCCTGCTCAAGTACGAAAGTGAGGAACTCTCCCTGACTAGTATCATCCTAAGAACAAATCCCAAGTTGACGTTTAGCATATACAGTGTGCAAAATCCTGCACATAGGATTTGTTCCTCCCCCCGGTCGAGGCCATCAGTCATGTGAATCCTGGATTGCTAAGCCATTGCAATGATTCCTAGACGTGTCCCCAAAAACGGTGGGAATCCGGGGATCACTTTTGCGGTTCACACCCCCTAGATCCTCCAGATTTGAGAGGTTAGAATAAGGACGCCCTTTTTTTCTGTAGACTATTTTGGTAGGGGAACCCTCCCAACCAAGAAGGGGAGATACTGGGGGACCTAGCCTCACTTTTGCGGGTGTCGGTTCAGCTTAAAACCCAAAAAAAAAATCAAGAAACATAAACAACATATATCCGATTTGGGTATGGGTCAAAAAAGTTACCACCAGGAATTTGACCGCAGGTTAAATCGTCCATGTTTACATTTACCCTTAGCCATTTGGGTACTTTTTTGGGGACCATTGCTCCCTGGGTACTTTTTAGCCATTGATCCGTTTTGGGTACATTTTTTGACCCGTTTCGGTGCCTCCTGCAGAGACACGATGATGAAGGGAGTGTAGTCCTCCTCCTTGAGCCGTCCTGGCGTTGCGTCAGAGGCTACTAGCTGGTGCCTTGCTTCCATTTGGATAAGACCCCTAGAAATATATTTCCAGAGGTGATAATTTCCTTTTAAAACCAACAAGGAAAAAAACAGATTCTTAAGCAAATGGAGAGAATGACCTTCAGGGCGTTGGGAATCAACCGTTTGGGGGATTCCCGGAAAGGAAACCACATTTTAGTGGTCAGAACAGCGTCGATTGGAGCTCATGCAACTGGGGACCTGCTGTTCTGCACGCTTCTTCAGGCGTCACCTGAGCCACCCAGGTAATTGGAGGGTAAGGGGCAGGCCCAGCCCTAAATGGGTCCGCCTTTGAGTTTCCTTACATGGATTTCGGTAGACCACTTCTGAGTCTTCGGTCCCTTTCGTTTATAAACCTCCCTCCCTGGAATACCAGCCCCCATTACTCACTGCTCCTTGCTATCATAGGGTTGTGGGTCAACCAAGTGTGCTGGTCAATCTTCAGGCGAACACCCAGCTCCGCAAAGCATGTTGAACTTACAGCCGCCGGCCGCAACCAAGAACTTGTGGGGTGCAAATGGAGATGACTTTAAGGCCGCGTCTCTGTCAACACCTGGCATCCGGGAATGTGGAAACTCAGCTTTCCTGGGTCGACAACTACTTCATCACGGGGACTTCTGTTGGGTTTCTTACAGAAACTGGCCGCCCAACACCAAGTCTCCCACAATGAGGGTTCCGCGCACTTCCTCTTGAATCATCAGCCCTAAGGAAAGTGGGTTTCTTCGGGTTGCTTCGATTCTCAAAGCGGAAAGAACCCGGGAACCTCCCGAAGATGTTCTCTTTGGATCCACCAGTCTCAGGGCTCACTGGATTTCTCTTGAAGTTGATCAATCTCCTGGTGTTGCCATTGAAACGATCGCTGCATTGGGGGTCCAAAAAGGGACATTGAGCAACCCCTGCTGAAATTTGAGGTTACCCAAGAAGGGATGGCCCCACTTTTGATGGCTCATGAAGACTCACTGCCTCGGATGTCGATCATGTCCAAGTTTGTCGGCAGCCTAAGTCCGGACAAGATCGTTGCGGGTGTGTCCGAAAAAACCGCCATAAACTGTCGCCCCAAACATCACAGTACATGTTCAAACGTGAGAAACTGTGACATTTGTTCTTCCAACTTCCGAAAGTTGGATAGAGGCACCGCCCCTCCATGGCAAACGCAATTGTGCCTTGTTTCGGTCAGTGGCTGCCCAACGTGGAGCCGTGCGGGTATGTGAGGAAACTAGATGCCTCCAAGAAATCCATATTGCACGCCAATGTTGCGATTGAATTGGTTCAACGGCTGCATTGACATGGGTCAGCTGGTGCCCTATGAGCTTAGCTCTGGAGCAGGGGCTCGCGGGCAGAGCCAGAGCCCCTGCTGCGCATGAACCCAACGCAATAAATCAGCGCTGACACAAGAAGCACGACAAGGACTCCACTCTCAATAGAAAACCATGTCCACACTCGGACAGGAACTGCAATGTCCATGCTGGGAGACGAGTTCTCTGCGTGCCCGAGCATGAACTTCCACTCTGAAGCAGTAACCTTGCCTGAGATGGGATAAAATGCCTCGTATCGCCATTGCCACACCGAAAAGCCCTCGCCATCCAGGTCCGCGGGAATGTCAAACGCCATCGAAAGGGCCCTCTCGGATTGCCAGGTGTGGTCCCGGCTTTTCTCAACCGCTTCCGCGAAATGGGAGCTGAAAGCAGACTTGATCGACTGCCCGAACGTCTGGGAAATCCTTGGGCTCTCTGATGACACACCCTCCATGATGTCAAGCGTAACTTTTTCTCCGAGGTATTTGTCATGGACGGAGAAGATGGGATGCCACCCTGCCGTGAAGTTGTGCGGAGGTGGCAGGGACACTCCAAGCTGCGACACGGCCACTGTCGTTTGCTGGCCTGCCAGTGCAGGGGACCACTCCGTTTGACACTGAGTGGTGATTGTCTGGCCTTGCAACTGGTACCTTGCGCAGATGTTCATCACCAGACTCAAGGTGAAGCCTTTCAAAGTTGCAGCTCCGGGGTCGAGAGTGACATCTCCATATCCACCCGCAGGAGCACCACCTCCTAGTAGCTGGTACCATACATACATGGGCTCCTCCAAATCATTGAGGATCGAGATGCTGGAAATTCATGGACGAGACCCAGCTTGTGTAGAGTTTCGATGTTTTGTGGCTGCGGCAGAAACATCCAGCCGTCCAGAGTCATCCGAGAACAAGAAGGTCCAGAGATCAGGACTGCCAAAGGAAAACTCACCCAAAATCAGCTTGGCTCTGGCGGTTGGTGTTAGTGGATTGGAGTGTAAAGGTATTCTGCCCGTTGAAGCAACTACCTCGGTTCAAGCCCAGACCATCTGCTCAAACCATCCAAAAAGGGCCGGACAAAAGGAGCAAAGCAACAAAACAACCAGGAGCATGAAAACCAGTGTCACGGGGCGGGATGTCAACGGAACCTCCTCCCTTGGAAGCCTCGCCCTCTGAACCGGGACATACTGGGGCAAGAGCTCCGGCAAAAGATGTCGGACGCAACCTTCCAGGCATCTGTCTGCTTCCATACCCGCAGTCCCTGGAGTCTTTGAACCACATGGATTCCACAGTGGAGGCGCTCAATGGATGCCAGACACGGGTTTGGGCGCTCTAAACCCTCAACCCCCGCAAGCAAAAACATGAGGCTGCGACTTCTCTGTCCCGATTGCCCTTTCAACGTGGGAGGTACTTGCCACAACCACCGGGGTGTTCACCAGGCTGCCGGTTTCTTTGGATTGTATTGGCCCTGGATCAGTTCCCTCTCGCCCCCTAGGAGCTGGTATTCTATGGTGGCAAGCAGCCCCTGGTGACATTCGCGAAAGTACCCTTCGAATATCTTCAAATGGATGGCCTCTCATTCATCCTTTATTTACCCAACATTTACTCCTTACTTGAAGGGGTATGGTGCAGTCTGGTAAACCTTCAATTGTGCTTGTTCGGGGCCCAGTCTTCTGAGTCACGATCAAAACAAGGTATTAAGATGTCTGCCAAAAGCCAACCATGCTGAAATTTCTTGTGGCTTCGCTTTGCCTACCAATTTGGTGTCTCGTTTTTTGGCAAAACAAATGTGCATGAAACACTCCTACATAAAGTAAATGACGGTAATTTTGAAGCCGTCCACCCCACCCCCGGCCCCCTACCCCCCGTCCCCCGAAATTTCACGAATTTTCGCCGAGTGGCGCGGTGAGGTAGCTGGTGATAATCGGCTGCGCCATGGAGATCTCCGCAGATGCGCCGCTGCCCCCGCCCCCGGTGATCTCCTGAGACCGATCCGGGCCCCAAAAAAAGGAACGCGACTCGGCTCCGGACAATACACCCAAAAACCACGCGGAGGAGGGACACGTCTTGCTGTTTCCTGGACAGAAACAGTTGCTGGTTGCTGGTTCCTGGAAATCACAATACACCTGGACCCTCAAACTGGGTCCATGTGTGCCCAAAATGGCCCACACAAGAGCACTTCCTGACACAGAACACAAACTACCTGCCTGGAAATCATAGTTGCTGGGAAAATGTAGAATATGGCGGTTCAAATCGGAAGCGTTGGCCTGGTGGGTTCCGCACCAAAAATGTGAACAACCAGCACCCTCCAAGAAGGGTCCATTTGTGCCAAAAATGGCTCAAGTGCACTGCAGGCAATGGACCACCCTTGGAGGCTGCTGGAATGGGTGTGACTTTCACGCAGAGACATCATTTAGGTGGGGGGGGGGCACCCTTAAAAAAGATAGCCAAATCACCGTCTACAGCTGGTAAAGGTGGTCTTGAATTTGACCAAAATCACCTGCTACATGGGTGTGGCTCTGATTTGGAGGATCCATAGCCGCTCTAGACCTTTTTGGGAGGTAAACAGAAATCAACTTGACACTCAACAGTTTGGGGACCAACAGCTTGGGGGTCCCCTATTTCAAACCACTCCCACACGTATGCCCGTTAGCTGGACTTGTTACAGTTCTAGGGCTACCTTCCCCATTCTTTCCAGGGATCCTACTTTCTTGGCAGCGGTCAGAGTCAGCGCAGCTCAAACGGGCTACGTGTCAATGCAGTACCCGTGCAAATGAAAGGCTTCATGTGGATTTCCTGGCTACATTTGCACCAGAGAGTGGTTCCTAGATTTGCAAACGTGTGCACACAAACACTCACCTGGGCCCAACTCTGCAACTCGCCCTCCAGAAGCCCGCCGACCGGTCGACAACGCGATTCGATGCTTTTTGCGAGGGTGCGGAGATGGTCTTGAAGATGCTGATGCCCTGGTTGGTCAAGAAGCCAATCTCTGCGTTGGGGTGCCTGGCTCAAAGAGGCTTGTGGAGCTAGCGCTCCATGGATAGCTTGTTTGCCATGTGGGAATGTGGCAAACCAAGGGACGCCAGCTTGGCTTTTCACGGAAATCAGTCAATTGCCAAACTTGGCCAAGTTGCAATCCAAACATCTGCGGCGTCTCCATCGGGAATCGCTCCTCGATGTACTTCACGTAATGGGAGTACTCCAACTTGGTCGCGTCCTTGGTCACGTTCGACGCTTGCAACCAAGCCCCTTGCAGATTGCAAACAATCAAAGCTGTGGCAAACCCCTGGATAACCAATGTGCTTGTTTGACCCTCACTCCAAGCACAAGTTGAACTTAGCCTGTACCAAAGCGAAGCCCTGCGAAGCAGCGTACCACCTAGGGTTCCAACAGTGGCTTCACATCGGGAACACCTGTCCAACTCCAACTGCCATTCTGGTTCAGCAACTTTGTTTTATGCAACTCACTTCAAGAGGATTGGCCCGCAAAAGTCCAAACCTTTCGTTTGCCACTAACATGGTCTTCCCAAAAAGCTTAAAGTGTAGAAACTCGGGAAGTGAGACCATATGCTTCCTTCGAATCACTACGAAATAACAGCTTAAGCTGGTTGCCTTAAACAGTTGGACCCCCTGCAAGCGTTTGGATCCGAAGAAATCCGGCGATAAGTTCATTCGCTTGAGATGCTGAGTGCTTAAAATCAACAGGGAAACATCTAAACCCCTGTGGTCCATGATGTCACCATCAGCTAGACTGTTCGACCGCCAGTGAGTTTGCATGGGAAAAAGGGAAACGTCAGTTGTTGGACAGATCGGAACAGATCGGAACAGATCGGACACCGCGGAGGTCGGAGATTTTCCGCCCTCCCTGCCGGTAAAACTTGGTTGCTTTCTGCTCCCCTGCTAAAAGTTTAACTTTTAGTGGTTTAGTGGAAAACCCATTAGTTTCCAAAAAGTTAAAGTCCTAACAGCCAAGCAAAATGCACCAAAGAAAAGTTATCCGAACAACGGGGAACCTTCTTCTTTTCAATAAGAAACCCCCGTCCCAGTCACTGCAGGCCTCGGATCACCCTGAAAACCCCACCCTCAGGGGCCCATCCATTCCACCATGGTCTAAACACCTCGTTTGAGGACGATTCCCTTTCCTCTCCCTTCAAACAAAAAACACTTCCAGGACGGAGGTGGTTTCAGTTCAATGCCTTTCCTTTCCCTTGCAAGGCTTCCAGATGGGCTCTGCTCCAAACCCGCTCCGATCCCGCGCCGCTCCGATCCCGCGCCGATCCCGTCGGGGCCGTCGGGGCCCGGGCGGGGGACTTGAAGCCCGGAGCCAGCGAGCCGCCCACCAACAGCTCCGGCGTCACCAGCACCGCCAGGTAGGTGTTGTTCACCTCAGCTACCCGCTGGGTTTCGGCTTCGCGCAGCTGGTGCCACTCATAGTTGATTTCGGAGAGAAATGGTGTGTATTTACATATATCATATGGAGCAGAGGTGAACAACTGTTGGACCAGGGACCAGATGGGTTTCGCTGGTGAATGGGGAATAAGGAACTTTGTTAGACCAGTGGAAAGAAGAAATTACCAAACTAAACGATCAAAAGGACATTTATGATACCGTGGCCAGAAGCGAATCTCGACATATCTCCAATTCATCAAGCGTCATGCTACATTTGGGGGTTTTGTAGGTGTTGCTTCCCGTTCGGTTCCAATCCATGGGTCTTGCTTAACAGGGTCCCAGAAACTCACATGGTGGACTGGTTTCCGTAACACCCAGCCGACTTCTTGACCTCTGGGAACACTTTTGCAGCGGTCCCCATGGCTCCCACGTGAGTTGTGGCTGAGACTGAAATGGGTCAGGTGTTCACCTGGGACACGGACGTGGGTTCCAACACAGATTGCCCAAGAACCCCTGGGAACGAAAGGAAAGAAAGGTTGACTTCTTTGAGACGGGACTAGACATGAACCAACTGGACACGAGAAAAAAAGGGACCCACAGGGTGAAGCAAACCTTCACAACACACAAGGGCCAAAAGCTTGAATGCTCGGATTGCTGGGAAAATGATTTGGGTTGGACCATTGGTGAACCCGTGAGCCCGTTTGTCTGCAAGGTATGTGACCTGATGGGGTCCCAAAGGAAACCGAGGGTGGGTTCCCGCAATGTCAACGAAGGATCCCAAAGCAAAAATTGTTGACACAGGGAAGTGAGTGATTGGGTCAGTGAGACAAGTTTGCTCTTGCGGGGTTGTTCGCCTCAGGCGGTTCCCATCTATACGAAACCGGACCAAGCAGCAGGTTCCCACTTGACTGTGAAACTGACGGGAGTATTGTAGCTTTGTAGGTGAAGCGATCGGCTGCCACATGCAAAATGCTTCGACAAATGAGAGGGTTGGTTGTGTGAGTTGGCTTTGCGTTTCGGGTTTCAACCCCCAAAAAATCGGTGTGCAAACCGCGAGAGCTTGCGTTCCGACTCGCCCGCGCTTTGCGAGGCGTGGACTCAAAGGAGTATTGGCCGGCTGGCTTCCGCTCCGAAAGATGGTGTGAACAACCAGCACCCTCCAGTGGTCGATTTGTACCCCATGGCTCAAGAGCACTGCTACAACTTGAAAAGCCACAAATGGAGGTGCTGGAAAGGAGATGGGAATTCGTGGTATGCCGCAGCTTCACCGGAGTGACTGTTGTTTGTTCTCAAATCTGGACCTGTGAAACCCGCTCAAACGAAATGATTGGCACATGAGTCGCTTGCTCAAAATCCGGTATTAAAATGGTCGCAATCCCAGAAGCATGCTTCAAGAATTAAGAAGGCGGAGATCCGCAGCCATTTATCGCAAGGGAATTGTCTCACATGCCTACTGTGGGGTTGTAGCAATTGATTGCCCACCCAGGGAAACGATTTCAAATGGGTCCGTCTTCCTGGAACACAAAGTATCAAAAAGGCGGTTGATTTCCTAGTAAAACCCACTTGCTGGCCAAAGTGATTGGTGATCTTGCAAGACTAAATGGGCAAAGCAAAGGTCGCGCTTCCCCTGATGATGAAAACTTGTAAGATAGGGTGCGTACCCCTTTTGTTTTGGTTTTTAAGGGGACACCAAAGGAAAACCATATTGTTTTTGGGGCCCCCTGACTAAAAGGGACACGTCCAAATACAAATAGACCTGCAGCCAAGCTGTAAGCGACATGACTCTAAACAAAGCTCCAAAACAACTTCTACTGAAGCCTCGTTCGCCTGAACCGGGAACAGAATTGGTTTCCCCCATGGAAAACTTGGTAAATGGACGCCCGATCCCTTGAGTTCGAGAAGAACCGCACGGGGTGTAGGTGTCGTTCGCAAAGAGACGGTCTGTCCACCAAGGTTCCAGCGTTCTACCCTGAAGGCCGGAACCCTCCCAAAATGAGGCGTGCCTTTGAAGCATTTCTTGAAGGGAGTGGTATGGCGCACATTTTTTTGGTACGACCTGAAGCCTAAAACTCGGGAGGCCTTGACACTGGGAATCAACTTAGTGCCACGTTCGGGCAAACTGATTGGCTGCTCCCCCAAAGCAGACTCGGGGAAGAGCAGGCGGCCTTTCGTTCCAATGATCTCAAGTTTGACGTCCGGAAACTGTAGCGGCTGACATGGGTGTGTCTATTGTTGAGAGCCTTTGTGGTGTTCAAGCTCTTCAAGTGAACTCATCGTTTTTGTTTTTTTGGGGGGGAACCATTTTAAAAAAAAATAAGACAATGCTGTCTTGGTTGCTGTGAACCCTTTGCAAAAAGTGTTACTTTTTGTGGGTCAAATTCGACCTGTTTCAACCAAAAAGCTCTCAAGTCCAAAGATTCGTTACCGAATAGCCATAAAGTAGAGAGGGCATGAGAGGGCCTTACACAACTTCTTTTGGGCTTCCGTGATTTTCACGGCAGGGGCAAGACTTTCCACCCTCTGCTCGGGAGAAAAGGTCGGCTGCAGTCGAAGCACACGTCGGTCCCAAGGATCCGTGATGTGACCGCCATACCTCAGACCCGTGAAGCAATCAGCTCTTTGGATCCCACTGCGAGATACACAGTGTGTCTCTATCTTTAGGGCACCCCCGAAATTGGGTGCATTTGCCTTTTGGCTTCCAAAATCACCATTGTCAGGGGTATCAGCTCAAGTACGACGATTTCTTTTCAGATAACCCCTCAAAATGGTAGTTTTCTTGTTGGTGTCCTTTTCAAACCGAAAAAGAGGGAACCCCCCTCAAGGGGAAAACATAAACCATGGCTTTCTTTTAAAACCACAAAAAAGAGGTATCCTCAACAAAGAATGGAGCTTCAAGCACCCTTTTCGGGGTCCATGTTGCTTTGCAAGGAAGTGTTGGTACTCTCCCGAAGCTAAAATGTTGGTTTCGGGCCCAAACAGATTGTCATGGGCAGACTCGTACATAAAAAAAGGGAAAAACACTCCCATGAAAAGCACGAATCCCAAGCAAGTAACCTGAATTTTGAGGTCGCCCCAGGAAATGCTTGTTTTGAGACCCTAACACCGGGAAGCCAACAAGTCGAAAGGTCGGACTAGCTTGGGTTTGAAGAACCAACGGGCTCTAAGAAGATCTGGCAGAGTGCCCCTTCCGACCATGCTTTCCCTGTCGATGCCTTGTTTGGGAAAAAACTTATTGGCCCCAGGAAGGGTAGAGCATGTTTGAAGGCGGCCCTTTTATTCTCCCCGAAAGCAAATGGACGAAAGGCAGCCCTGCCACTGGACTGCTAGTTTATGAGAACTGAATGACAATTGTTTCGACCACGACCAGTGCCCCTGGCAGACAGGTTAAGGGAGCCTGTTTGAGGGTTCGATCATTTTTTCTCGGTCGGGCCAAACGAAATGAGGCCAAGGGTGCGAGAAACCAAGGCCGCCTTCCCTCTCCGCACGGCATCCATAGGAAGTCTAAGGGGCTTCTCGCGGGTGGTAGGGTTTTGTCGGATGCAACTGAAGCTCTGGGTTGGGGGGAAAGGCGTAAAAAGGCAACAGGGAGCCTTAAAATGGACTTGGGGAAGCGGGGTGATTTCTGGAATTCATGTTTTATGGTCCCTTCAGGTGTTTCCCTTTCCCTTTAAACCAAACCAAGGTGGAAAGGGTACAATCACATTCAGCACACCAGGAAGGGTTGCTTAAATGACTTGACAATTGACCATTGGTTTGATTTCAGAGCCCGAGCCCCTGGCATAATCTCGCCGAAGATGTAGCGCAGGTCAGGCCAGGGCACCTGTTTGAGCGACAGGAGCGACCGAAACCCATTGACCGTTGGTTCCAGCACAGGCTTTCCCATGGGTGTCCTTGGTGGAAAAATCGATGGGTTTCACTGGGAAAATGGATGGCAAGAAACCAATCTGAACCAGTGCTATCTATTTGGGGCTTGTTTCATCAGGTCCTCCACCTTTCGGGAAGCCATCAAAAAAAAAACGACTTTCACCACGTGGGGCCGGGAATATTGCTCAACCCCCATTTCTTATCAAAACCTAAAAAGGACACCTATGTACCTTACTATCAGAACAACCTACAATGGTCTAGAGTTTTCGTAAGAAAACACATGCTGCACAGGACAGGTGATTCGGGAGTGGATCACAAGGTTGTTTTTCATGGGACGATGATTGGGGGAAACCACAAAAACAAGATATAATCCCAATAGATTCTTAAATGGGAAAAGTTATCCATGGTCAGTTCCCGGTGTAGTTGACGCCTTCTTTCCACAGATCACGGAGCCGTCGTCCCAAGCCAAGTTAATAGCTACTTGTTTCAGTTGGAACATTGGGATAAACCCCACTGTTGTAAGCGGCAACCCCAGTGTGGAATAGGTTGCCACGGCAAACCAAATGCTAGGCAGTCTGTTGGCTAGAACTGTTTACACACCATTTGTCGAGGGTACCCAACTAATTGATATTCCTCATAGGGGAAACCAAGAAGAAAACCACCATTTTGAGGCTCCCCGAAAGAAAATCCACGATTCCATTCAACCAAAGGACATGCAAAGCTTTGATTCCACACAGGAACATATCAGTCGACGCTGAGAAGTGTGCCGATGCTCTTCGAGTTCGGAGATTTCCCATGGACTCGCATTGCGAACACCAAAAGCCCACCCTTCCCATGGCTACAGGCAATGTCTTGGTTGACGTTGGAAGGGGAGCAAACAATTAGACATTTGAGCAGTTCAGTGGTTGGATTTCAACCACTAATCCACAATAAGCAAAAATGTAAAATGTTGCTCAACAACAACCATGTTGTACCCCCCAGTGACGCTTCAACTTCTTGAGTGCCATGCTCTCTCCAGATAATAGTGCCCTTCCCTTTTCTGCGCAGCCCCTGATTGTGAACACTGACTTCTGGGGAGGACTAGCAGAGTCTCTCTCTCCAGATTCGCGACGCGGGCCCCCAAAGCAAAAGCCAAGCGCACTGGCCCTAATTTGTGTCAACACGAAGCAAGCCCATTTGAAGATGAGCTTTCAGACCGTGTGACAGAGTTTGATCTTTGGCCTCTTCACACCGTCCCCAGAAGAGGTGATTTCCTTATGAAATATATACAGGCAAAGTCACTCCCTGGCTGCCTTGACCCGAAACACTGACTCTGACTGCAACCATCTGGCCCATACACTTCCAGCGTTGAGCCATTTCCGTCAATCCCACGTTTTGTCCCACCCAACTCTTACAGAGCAATTTCTGGGTGAAAACCATGGGGCATCAACAACTTAAGCCTTGCTTGACGTTGGAAGGGGAGCAAAGATTCAAGTTCAGCAGCTTTATATAAGTGGGAATCTCTCACTAAACCACAATAAGCAAAAATGTACAATGTTTCCCAACAACAACCATAAAGCCCAGGCTTGAGTTGACTTGGAGCCACTCAAACGGCGCCTCCGTACCCAGGTGCTCAGCGTTGTTCAGATAGTTCTTCAGCACTTGCCCGCCTCGTTCACGCGAAAAACGAGCAAGCACAAAGATCAATGGCAGTCACTTTGTGTGTGTGTGACATCCGAATCAGGCCTTTTTCAGTACAAGACGCAAATTCATGGCAATTGCAAGAAATGGTAGAGTCATTTTTTGTTGGCAACCAACATATGGAGAAGTCCTACGCTTTTGACCTCTGCTATATCTCCAACGCCAACCGAACGAAGGTCTGCCACTGCACTACGGAGCTTCTAGCGAAGAGCTGTCGGGCAATGTGGGCAGAAAGCTCCAAGGGCCTACTTGGTCATGCTTGATCATAAGTTGTGCTGGTTTTGCTTTTGGCTCTCCCTTGCCAAAGACGTGAGCCACACCAACTCCCCTTGCGAGTGCCCGGAATCTCGTTCTCTCAGAAACTGAGGGCTGAGACCCGTCAGGGTAATTTCTGCCAAGGGAAACCAAAAGAAGCCTTTCATTTGCTTCAGCCCCTGTCACAATGTAAAACATCCCCTTGAAAACCCAACAAGGGAACAAACACCATCCACACACACATTCCCCTTTATATTCAAGATACATACTAGAAAAGTGAGTAAATTTACTAATACATATATCATACCAGGTGTTTGGGTACGCGACAAATTCCAAGACAAAGACTGCGAGAAATCTCCAAAGGACGATGGCCGACCCCTGAATTTATGCCCGTCGAAACGAATCGAACAACTGGGGCTGCCGGCAAATGGTCAGGTCGCCATCGTTGAAGGGGTACTTCTTGGACCTGATTCATCGGCCAAAGCGCCGATGTCTACTAGAATGGTTAGACAAGTTGGTACAGCTCTCTCTCTATAATTCCGTTTACTTGGACAGAGGTTAGACAACATGGTACAGCTCTCTCTCTCTCTCTCTCTCTGTAATTCCAATTTAACAAATCGCTCTCTCTCTCTCTCTATCATTCCAATTTAACAAGTCTCTCTCTCTCTCTCTCTATAGTTCCAATTTCACAAGACAGAGACACCCTTCACCACATCGGTCAATCCTGCTTGCGTGAGTCTCGCTTCAGGCAACCCATCAGCAATGAAGAGCAACCAAATCTCGGGGCCGGGTCCTTTCAAGTGACAAAACAAAAACAGTCATGGCAAAGCTCGTAGAAGCTGAAGCTAACTGCTACGCGACTTCCAGGAAACTTTTTTTTGTTTTTTAAGGCGCAGCTTAGGCGAACCAACATTGTGGCCTGCGTAGACTCCTGTGAAGGGCCATGAATCCCAAAAATGATCCTATCACAGACTGCTGGAATGACTCTTTATTTCTTCGCGCAGCGACAAACATGGAGGTACACTTTCATGATTCTTGGCTGAAGGGTAAAATTCACGAATTCATGAACAGTACAGGATTCCCCCCGCACAAAGTACCTTCATGACAACTGAGCTCCTTACTCCAGTTGCCTGTGGTCAAGAGTTGTAGAAGCCGCTCAATTAATTTTCAGACCAAGTGAATGTGCGACAGTACTGATTAGCTTATCCGAAAGAGGACCATCACAATCCAACTCCCGCCCAGCTACAAAAGTGATAGGGCAGCAAACCTGATCACATGCTTTGCCATTCCGTTGCCAATGCAAACGTCGGGTCTTTCCGCCATCGAAGCCTTAGACAGCCCTTCATAGCTCCGAACGGCCTGAAGCCCACCGAGGCCAGCACCATCCTTGAGCTCCGAACTTAATTCGGCCTCTGCGCTTGACGTGCGACAGTCATGAATGTGCCTTTGGAGAAAAACACACACGCGGGTCTCGGTGTCAAGCTAGCTTGGGCGCCCAGGTTTGTTCTTCCAGGTCAGTCGTGAGAAAAAAGGATGCTGCTGGATCTGGTTTCCAAACGAAAGCTGGAAGGCACTGGGAGGTCTGGGTGAAGGCTGTTGAGCGCTCCACTCTCGACTTGTGGAAATCAGAGAAACAGAAGGCAATCAGGTCGAACCGTCAATCTCTTTGAATTTCCTTTGCTTGGAGGATAGAGCTATCTGTTCTTCCCACTCACTCAATTGATGGAATGCAAACTCATAGACATGACTGTAGATTAAGCTACCCAAATAGCATCCCATTTTCTCATTCACGTACGCTCATTGACAAGCTCTCACGCGCTTGGCAGCAAACGCGTGAGGCAGTTCTCCGTTTCCGGAGCTGGCGGCTGGGCGCATTTCCAGTTCCACTCCTACTTGCCCTCCTCCCACACCCCTCCTCCAAGAAAAAACACATGGGCGGGAGTTGCTTTTAGCTCTCCCTTCAAACCAACCCAGAAAGCCGGCGCACCTGGACTGCAGGATGACCCATTACTCCCCGACTCCTCCCATCCCTTGTTGGCTGTTACGGCCATTGATTTCGGGCTTTTTGGGATGAACCGTTTGGAAATTTCCGACAAAACCGCCAGTTAAATGGTTGACTTCGTGGTCATTCCAGGCTTCATTCCCTGCCTGTCCCGCCACCAAGTGAAAAGGGGTCAGGAAAAGTTCACAACTTAATGATCCATCCCTTTTTGTTCCTTGGGAAATGAATCCAGCCAGCAAACAGAGGGGTCTCAAAACTCAACATTCACAACATACTACCTTCTTTTTTGCCAAGCACGCGTGTTTTTTTCTTCTTTGTGTCCAAGCGATGAATCGAATCCGATTCGAATCGCTTCCGAATCCGGCCTGAGATGAGGGAATGGAAAAAGCAGAGCGCGAAGAGCGTGGCCTTAAACTCCCTCGGCTTCAAGCAGGCGTCGATGTTCTCCTGATGCATGTGGGTTGGGCTGTGCGTTTTCTGATTAACTTGTCGGTAAACTGAAACAAACCAAAAAAAATAAAAAGACGGCAGGGGATGGCACGGAACCGCCCCTTGTCTTGTCTCAGGTATCCAAACAAAAATGTTGGCGTCCTTTTAGCTTCCTGTTTAAACCAACCAAAAGGGTACCTGCAAAAAAGGCACACCCATATCCGGGCGGGAGAACAAATGAGCAGGCAAACTTTGCTTCGGCGACAGGTGGAGCAAAAAGAAACCGGCTCCAAACAATGGTGGAAGAGATAAACATTTGCACCAGGCTGCTTCTACTGGATCCATGAAAATAAATTATCTTGCTCATATTTGGAAAGGAACCACACCCCCAAGCCACTTTGAAAGGTTGGGACGGTTCTTCGGGGTTCTTAGAGCTACTCCGATGCCGACCTATAATGATTCGCCCCAAAAACCGAAGCTTGCTGAGTACAGAGCAGGGCCAAACCGGATACCGGTTTCAACCAACGGATGGGTTCCCTTGCTTCTGAGCTGTTCCCTGCTCCGCGAAAAGTCTTGTGGAAACCACCTCTATGTTCTAATCCGCCAAAAACCTGATGGACCAAATGGCTGGGAACCAAGGTTTGTTTCACGCCTCGAAATCGCGAGTGGCGTGCCTGTGGTTTCCTTCACACAACAAAATAAAACAGAGATTTGGCAACCCTGAATCGGTTCTAACCATGGACTCCTGTCGGATCCTGCACGTATCATGATGGTCCTATTGGACCTTGAAACGTATGTGGGCAGTGGGCTGGGGCTTTCCTCGGATGCAAAGACAACCTTGAATCCCGCTCTTGAAACAGGGATCCTTACAATCTACACCTGAGCATTGCCTTGTAAATGGCGGTTTCCGTTCATTTTGGTGGAAAAAGCAATGTTTCAAATGGGCAAAATGTATCTTTTAAGGAGCCCTGTAAAAAGTTTGGCGCTATCTAGGAACCGAAGGCGAGCACGGATAGCTCTTCGCGCGCCTCAGAGATTCGATCAAGCGTTGCTTCTTTGCTTCCGACTAAATAGAGCATAAGCCTGACACCAGCCTTTGTTCACATGCGCGATAGTCCACAATCTCTCTCGCAGCCACCAGTACCTTGTGGGTCTGGCTGCTGATTTGCTTTAAGATTCTATTTCAACGTGATTGCAGGGCTACGCGCCGTGTCTTGCCCTCAAAGACAAACATTGGATATATCGATGAAGGTATCATTGCCACAATCACGTTCAAAGGCGGAAGCCCGCTGAATTTTCTGGTAAACAAACACACTCATCCACACCTTGGACATAGTGGGTCAACATGGGGGCGGGCACGAGGTACTTGCCCGGACATGTTACAAAGCAGTGACTCCTTTATAGGCTGCATGCCTTCTACATACAGAAACCAGGAAAAGGAGGACTTGCATCGGAATCAAGAACCTGGACCCTCACACTACCCTTCCTTCCATTTGCTTAAGCCCCCTGAACAAAATAATATTTCCGATGGTGATAGATTCCCTTTAAAACCAACAGGGCAAAAAAGGGAAGTCTTCGTAAGCAAATGGAAGCTTCAAAATGGGTTATTGCCAAATTGATTGGGTGCATTGTCGGTTCATATAGTCCAAGAACATCGATCTCTTGTATCTGGGTCCAACAGGCGACCTCAAAACGGGACTAAGTTCCCTAGTCGTGTTGAAATGGCACTTGTCAAACACCCAGTTCCGATCCAGTGGGTAAATGGTCCTCCCAAAACTGGGCTGCCCTCAGATCCCCCGCTAAAAGCTTAACTTTTAGTGGGTTAAATGGAAACTACCACTAAACACGAAAAGGCTAAAAAGCTAAGGAACCGGATGGCTGGGAGCCACCAAGCAGGACCTCAGGAAGTGAGAACGGCGGGTCCCATGCCGCGATTTGGGGACCCACGAACCCCCCGGTCCTGGGAGAATTTGGAGTAGGCGCGTCGCAGGTTGGACTTCAGGTCAGAAGGCGCCTCATCGGCCACCTTGATGCACCTCGGCTCCAAGTTCACTTCGGCCTCATGCGAACTCCGGATGCCGGTAAACCACGATTGATATGAGTTGTTCTACCTCTATCTTCCGTCATGGTTGGAAATAGAAGCTTAAAGACTTGATTGAACTCCTTACCCCTTAAAACTCCAAGCCTTGGGGAAGTTAATCTTTTACAGACATATAGCCCATGTTACCCCGAACAAGTTGAAAAGTTGTGTTTTTAAGAGGTAAGACTCTCTTGGCCCACTTAGTAATCTGTAGGATCTCCAATGGGTGTTCTACACTTGTCCCCGCCTTTAGAGCTCGGGGGTGCGAATTGGTCGGCACTCCGTCCAACCATAAAATGAGCACACAGGATCTGTTTGACCGAACCTCGTTTTAGACGGCGCTTTGCAAGGGGTTGACAAGGGGCCCATCTGGGCGCTCACAGTGTTCGCCAAAGGGCGTGACCGCCCAAAGGTCGTGGTGGTTTCCCTTCGCATTCCCGAGTGTCTAACTCCAGACACAGCCCCCAAAAGCGCATGTTCGCGCATGTCAGGTTTCACCGGCGGTCCCCATTTGAACTGCGCTTGAAGGGCAAGCCGAAGAAAGCTGCCCAAACTGTTTGGTGTCAATTTTCCAGGTTTTGGGAGCATCAACATGGCTGCATCCCTCCCAAGCACCTTGTTGTTGTCAACCCACATCTTCACAGCGCAGCTTCACCATGTCGAGCTTCAGACTCGGATATACCCAAAAGATGTGCAACCCAACACCGCCTCCCCCGCGACCCCCCATCCACTTGTTGGTGGCGCCGCCCCCCCAAAACAAGATCAGGACACCGCTGCAGGATGGGCTCCGGGATGAGGTCCCAGAGCTTGCCCTGCATCAGTCCCGGAGGCTCCGAGGTCAGGAAGCATCGGAAGTCCTGACAGGACCCAACCATAGGCGTCCTTTTCGGGGAAATAGATGGGTTGCCCTGGGAGATGATGAACAACCACCAGGTAAAAACCAGGAATCGCCATCTATGTTTCGACCAAAACAACCAAAAAGGACACCTATGGACCCAACGCCAGGGAATGAGTTGGAATCACCGCCAGACCCCTTGTGGTTTCCCAGATCCCCAGATTCCATCACCCGCTGCTGATTCCTTACTGCGAACCAGCAAGTGAAATGACCGTACCCAGCAGGTACTGTGACGCTTGACTTGGGCTGACAAGCTCAACATCAGCCTATGGTCCTCATCATCAAACATCCCTCAACCCCGAGCAGCCCAAGTACCCCGACGGCAAACCAACCCTAAACTAACCCTAACCAACCCTAAATACACCCTAAACCAAACCCTAAACCAAACCTTAAACCGTAAACCTCTAAACCTAAACCAACCCTAAACCAACCCTAAACCAACCCTAAACCAATCCTAAATCAACATAAACCAACCCTAAACCAACCCTGAACCAACCCTAAATACACCCTAAACCAAACCCTAAACCAAACCTTAAACCGTAAACCTCTAAACCTAAACCAACCCTAAACCAATCCTAAATCAACATAAACCAACCCTGAACTAACCCTAAATACACCCTAAACCAAACCCCAAACAATAAACCCTAAACCTAAACCAATCCAAAATCAACATAAACCAACCCTAAACTAACCCTAAATACACCGTAAACCACAAACCAACCCTAAACCAATCCTAGATCAACATAAACCAACCCTAAACTAACCCTAAACTAACCATAAATGCACCCTAAATACACCCTAAACCAATTCTAAACCAACCCTAAACCAACCCTAAACCACCACAACCCAACCACAGGACCATAACCACAGGGGGGCCGGGTGGGTACTTGTCTGATCCATGACCATTGGGGGGGGGGGGGGGGCTGGCAACGCTGTACCATATATATATATATATATATAGAGAGAGAGAGAGAGAGAGAGAGAGAGAGAGCGAGTGGGGTAGCGCAGTGTTGCGCCTAGAGCCTCGCCAACGGCATGTACCGGAGAATAATGCCGATGTGTCTTCAAGATGCCGACCAGAAAAACATTTAACAGACTAGGATAAACTCATAGAAGTGGGTTCCGGGGCTTCCTCCAAAGTCGTCTTCCACTACACTCCTGGCAGCTTCCATGCAAGTTCATTCGCTGCGGTCCACTTTCCTCAGCTTTTGACCAACCGAAAATAAACTGTTCGGTCCTGGCCCATATTCCGTGGACCTTCTGCGAAATCAATTCTAACAAGATGCCAAACTGCTCACCCAGACCCCTTGAGAGGCGCTTTTTTCCTGGCCCCGGGGGGGGGGATGAACTCGTGCTGTCCCGCTCGAGTGATGTCAGATTTCTCGCTCCTCATGGGAGAACTCTTCGATGACCTCCAGCGCGCGCTCCAAGTCTTTCAGCCAGGCTTGCATCAGGTGAATGTTCTGCAGCATGATCCATCCACCTGCGAATCAAATGCCCCGGATCAAGCGGTTCGCAGGAGGACCAACCGTAAGACGCGGCAATAAATGGTGCTTGTACTCTCAGATCAAACGTGGGCGGCTTGGCCCATTTTGAGGTCAAAACAAATATGTTTGGGGGAGGTTTCCCTTTGAACAACCTTGAAGGGAAACTTTTGAGGATATCCCTTCAGAACTTGTAGAAAGTGGAAGCAGGCTGCAGGTAAAACTCAACCAGGAAATCTTGGGCATGCAAGCTGAAACTGGGAACATGCAGTTGAAGAAATGGGTGAGGGTTCCCCAATTCCATTTGCTTAGTGACAGTGACCACGGAACCACACATCCATTTCCTCAAACCTCCATGAACCAAAATTCCCAAATCAGCTCCACTCCCCCACTGTCATCTTGAGTTTGAAGAGGATGGCTTCGACCCGCAAGGCGCTGAGTACGGTCGAAGCACGCCTTCCTTTGCCATCTTGTTCAGGCCGTTCAAGGCAATCTTCTCCTCACGCAGAAGCTTGGGGCGGCACGTGCCTTTGGTCAAGCCTCAAAATGACGTCATAGGAATCCGCCGCATCATGGTGGTCCTAGTAAGCCCGAGGAAAAAGGCTTTGACCAGGGCCCACCAGAGGTTGTCTCCCATTTCGGTGGAAAGCATACAGGTGAACCCATCATCCGCAGATGTTTCCCCGCCTTTCGCAATGTCATCTGGCCCTACCAACATAGGAGAAACATGTAAACAAAATGGCCCTGGTAAATGGACTTGAACCCATTGTAAACCAGTGGAGCCCATCTATGTCTAACCCAACTCACCTACTAAATTGGGTCCTCAAAGAGGTTAAAATAAGGGTACCCTTGTCTATTGTAGCATGGGGAACCCTCCCAACCAACAAAAAGGGAGAGAAGGGCACTACTGGGGGAAGTAGTAAAAGACACCTCATGCATACCTACCTCTCCGCCGCAAAAAAAAGAAGCGACCCGCTCTCATCGATCCAATCCTGGCCCTGGCCCATGGAGATGTTCAGCAGCTGCCCGTTCGCCTCACGCGCAATTTCTCGCGCCCGAGTCGAAGCCAAAGGCACTCGTTTGGGGTCACGGGAGATGTGTCGAGTCGAAGCCCCCTTTTGGTTGGCTTCAAGAGGCAACAGGAAACCAAACAAGACGTGGAGCCATTTCCAATGAGACAAACCCAAAGATAGGGCCATGGGAGATCTGTCAAAGCCGGGGACGGTTCAAAATAGGCGTCTTGAGAATTGGTTGGTGTTTGCAAAAGGCAACAGAAGACCGGCCAAAAGTTTTGCACCAAGGCCATTTTGGCCCTGGGTCAAAATCCAAATCGTACCACCAGTGAACATCCGATTATCTCTCCAACCACTAAAATAGGAAGCCTAAAACGGGTGGTGAATTCTCACCAATCCCAACCAACATGGTATCCCAAAACGATTTTGACAACCACGGGATCCCAAAACGGTTTGACCACAGCCATAAGCCAATGGACCCAAAGCGCTAGCGCTCCAAGCGACGCGCGGGCGCGCGCGCCTCTGTCTTGCCCAGCTTTCGTCCCAAGGCCTCGATGGTGGGCGTGGGGTCCACACCTCGCGATCCGAGAGTCAGGTGTGGACTTTGGCATGGAACCCGGCGCCCAACAAACCCTTCCCCCCCCCAAAAAAAAAAAAAAACGAGGAAAGAAAAAGACAACCAAGAAAGACTTGGAAACCCCCTGCAGAATGAGCATCTCTTGGTGCCTTGTTGCTCAGTTTGGCACGGACACCCCCGAAATCAAATACACAAGCACCTTTGTTGCTGTTGACCCCCCTGCAAAAAGTGAACCACTTTTTGGGGGGGTTTAGTGGAAAAAAACCCTTTATTTCAACCAAACAGCTAAAAAGTCTAAAGATCCACCCCAATAGCAGTCAAGGCACAGGTGTCCCCAACAGCACCCCCGCCGGGAACCCTCTGGGCTCAAACCTCCAAATTTCTCAGACCTGTGGACCACTCCGCTTTCAGCGGCGGAGGAAGCATGTTCAAAGGACTCTCCTTCTGCGACTGTCTTACTTCCTGAGTAGATCGGCAACAAAAACACCATGTTTGCCACCAAAATGGTCTTGCCAAAAGTTTCACCTTGTTGTCCTTCCTGAGTTGATTGGCAAACAAAAACACCTGCCTGTTTGCCACCAAAATGGTCTTCCCAAAAAGTTTGAAGGCCGGAAACTAAGAAAGTGGGCCCTTCATTGGAGAGTTGCCTTTTATCCAAAAGAAAAGGGGGCCTCCCCGCTGCAACAATGCCCGCGGCTCTGCCCGGTTGTCACGGGCTAACCTGCAATTGCAAAGTAACACCTACCTATTATATACGTATATAAAATTGATTTATCAAATAGATATGTGTATGCATACATATGTATATATGTATATATGTATGTGGTGCCTCCCCCCGCACCCAACATTTCTCAGCATGGATCCAAGGTTGCTCTCAACAGTCCCCAAAACTCCCGCATCTTGGATCTAGATGTTGCATTGAGAAGTTTAGATTCAGCAGCTATAATTTCAGGGCGCAAGTTGACAAACAGTCTCACAACCATTCGAATCCATCGTTTTCTGGACAAAACTTTCCTGGGCAATTATGATTCTTGAATTATCTTTTCCTTTTTGTTCCAGCGATGCTCACAATTCCTTTGTTGGTCCCGCATCTTCCAGGGGTCTAGCATGTCTACATCCTGCTTCGAAGGATTGTTTTCTCTTTTTGTTTTCGTACACGATACTATAATCTTAACCTGTCTCTATGGCCTTTTTCTGGAGTCGATAGTTTGGAGAAAGATTTCCTGGCTAATTGTGAATTTTGAATCCAGCATATATGCTTTAATGCCAGAGGTAGCCAAATGCTCTTTTTGCTCAGAGAGACTTGCTTAGAGAACTTGAACAAAGACACTTGCGCACAAACATTGAACAGACAGACTCAGCTGATTCTCTGCACAAGAAACGCGGTGCGGACATAATATTGCCTACAACAGAGTAAGCTATGTTGCCTGACCACCTGCCTTCCAGTTGTTTTTGTGCACGTCACAGGATGGTCTGCAAACTTGCGTATCTCTACTTAAGTCTGCAGGAAACAAACATATACACTGCAGCCTGTCTGCTCAAACAAACCAAAACGGTGACACCTGCTGCAGAAACAATGTCAAAACTCTACAGCCTACGCGCTCCAGTCGAGCAAACCGGGGCCACTGTTGTTTGTTGTTGTTTTTTTTGGAGGGGAGGGTAGAATATATATATATATATATATTAATATATCATTCATACATCCATTGTTGGAGTCCAACCAATCTTGGTCGTTTCTTGTGGTCACAACTTGTGTTGCGCAACCACCCGAATTCTCGCGCGCTTTAAATTCCTTTCGAACTTGAATCAACAAACTGGATCCTTCGACCTCGACTCGACCAGCAACCGCCTTCGACTCGAGAGTTCGACTCGAGACTCGCGAGTCGAATGGCCTGGGAACAGCACGAAGAAGAAGGGGGTGATGGGCGTGGACTCTTCCTCAGTTGTTCAGTGACCCAGGGAAAAAAAGGGCGACCCTTTTGGGAAGACCTTTTTTAGTGGGGCAGCCACCAAAGAAAAAGAAAAAGGGTGCCACTGAATTGAGCATCGAAGGAGACCTCCATGTCGAAGGGAGGCTGCTCCACAAAGTCCTCTGAGCGCGATTTTGAGTCGCCATCTCGGGTGGCCAACCGAGAGTCTCCATGCCATTTGCTTAAGTCCGCTGGAAACACAAATCCAGTAGTTATAGATTCCCTTTAAAACCAACAGGGAAAAATACAAAATATGCTTAAGCAAATAGAAGAATAGAAAAAGGTGGTCAAAACCCCCTGAATTTTGAGAATGACCCCATTGTTAAACGGGTCAAGGAGACTCCGGGAAAATGTCACCCCCGCCCCCCCCCCCCAAAAAAAAAAACACAAAAAACCAAAACAAAGCATAGCACCAGCCGAAACTGCGCAGCTTCGCCCTGCTTCGGGCTTTTCAGCACCTCTACTCTTTTCAGATACGGCAGCTTGCACGAGGCGAGCCCGGCAAGCCCGGAATACCCGCACGCTCCTGGCCCAGGTTGTCGATCACGAACTGCGACAACGCGGCGCCGATGCCTGACGCGGCCAACGGGCGGGCAATTACACCGAGGGATTCGAGGGATTGGGGCCGAGTCCTGGGTCGTGCCGTTGAAACCCACCGAATCTTTAGAGTCGCGCCAGTCAGAACAGCTGAACCCCGAAGAGGTGACAGAGGCAAGTGTCCGCGTTCCATGCGATTCAGGCCAGCGAAGCAAACTACTGGCGACAACATCTGGGGCTGCAAATTGGCTTAAATGGGTCATTGTGCCCGCAGGTGCCTCGCCGCGAAGAAACAGAGGGCGTGCCAGGGCCCATCCATGCCATGGAGATTCGAGACGGTTGTCACCTAGACTGGGGTTAGTTGCTCTCTTTTTTTGGGAGGGATTACCGCCTGCCCTGGGTTGCCCAGTCTCAGACCGTGAGACCTCAGCTTTTCGGCTTTCCAGGGCATGGAATTTCATCGCGAGCAGCGCCCTTTTAATGTTTCTCAAAAGTCGGATTCACCTGTCAAGAAAGCGATGCTTGGTGTCAACAGGAAAGACACAGGGGCAAGCCCACACAAGGGTCAACTTTCTTCCGGGCCATTCAGAAAGATTGGGATCAACCACCCTAGAGGAAATGAAACCCTCTTTAATCAAGGGTGGCCCCTCATTTCTCATGGGGCAAAACAAATTTCCTGAAAAGGGGGCAAGGAGATCCGCCTTTAGAAGCGGACGCCCCGTGCTTCCCCCCAAAGCCAAAAGGGTCGCGGCGACCTCCCCGCTCTGAAGTCCAAAGGCGACCGGTTGCTCAGGCCAAAGGAGCCAACGACTCGGGAAATTTGTCTGTCGCACTGACTTGCCCAGTTCGGACCTGGCAATACCTGGTTTACCTTCGTGGGTACCCGGACCCTCAAACTACCCCATGAAAATGGGCTAGTGCCCCCAAACTGATGGGGCGGCCTCCCTTTGTTAGTGGGTAGTTCACATACCAAACTTGGCAACAAAAACCAACAGCTCAAAACTTTCAGCTCGGTTCGGTTCGGTTCGCGCGCGTAACAGAAAACCTTCCAGGCGTCCGGGCGGTCTTGGCGCATGACGCGGAGCAGGAAGAGGCGCTGGAACTGCGTCAGGTCCCGCGCCGAGCGCGGCAGGTCCGCATTCTCCGCCTTCTCCTCGCTGTACCACCGCTTCCAGCCCAGGGAGTCCTGAGAAAGCGGCGAAAAACAAGCGAGCGGACAAACTGTTCCCACCCAGAGGCTCCCAATTGATTTAGGGCCTTCAAACAGCCTGGTTTTAAGACCCCGACCACCTCCGGGTGTGTAATGGAGGGGCCGGGTCTTCCATTGAAAGCCCCAGGAGCCTCTGGGATGGAAAAACACGGGCACCATGTGTTGATGGTTGATCAGAAACGACAACTCCTCAGAGAAAAAGGAGAAAGCAACAAGGAGAAATGAAGCAACTTATTGGAGGTCGCGCTGAAGATTATGGTCCTCCCCCAACCGCTGCTTCGTTTAACACAATTGCCCAAACCCTATGGGTGCTGTCCACAAAGGAGTCGTTGGGGTGGATGGAAGAGGACATGGGAATTTGAGCGAGTAGCCATGGGAGTTCATACCAAAGTTGCTCGATGGGTTCATGATATCAAAGTCTCTACGAGAACCCCAAAACGGATGGTTTTCATTTGGTTCCCCCCCCCAACGGACGGTTTTCTTTTGGTTTCCTTTAGCACCCAAATATAGTTCGCTCCCCAGGTGTCTGTACGGCAATGCTAACAAACTGCTAACACATCTTGTGCATTTGGGCCAAAGTCGTGAGAATGGGGGGGGGATCTCAACACCTATAGTTCAGTCATGTTGACCTCGAATTGGAGAAGTGTAGTGATCACGGCTGGTTCCCCTTGGACCAAAAGGCTCCAGATCAATCCGAAGCTATCGTGCAGCTTCCCTCGAGCTTCCGTGGCGTGGATTGGTGGTGTGGTTAAGGACACTCTCCCATTTAGCCTTGGGTCTACAGGAACCAGGGTTCAAACCCCCAAACCATTTACCATATATGTCCAAAGCCTGAAACAAGAATTGGATCCCCAAGTACACTGTAGGTTTTTGCTTAGCTGCCGCTAGGTACAGCCGGTCAAGGATCTTACCATGGCTTTCGCTCGTTTGAACCCCAGCACGCAATACAATAGGCATATGGCCATGGGTCACAAGCCAAATCGTACCCCCAGTGAATATCCCAATCCAACCACTAAAATAGGAAGCCTAAAATGGGTGGTGAATTCACCCACCCCAAAATGGTATCCCATTGGTTTTGAGAGCCACAGAACCATCTTATTTTCCAGAAGACATCTTCGACTTCGCCTCGCCCGTCCTGCTCGATGTTCTGCGTGAGCTGACCGCCCTTCTTGAAGGCCTGCGCCACTGGAAATGAGATCGATCGATCCAGAAGCGTGGCTGGCTTTGGGCCCCCTACAGTTCTCCAACAAAAAAGTCCACACCGTGGATGGTTGCGAAATCCATTTCGCACCACCTAAGAAACCATATGGAATGATGATTCCCTGGTAAATACCAATGAACAACGGCTTCCCATTGCTAGTGGTATACGAGCGGACAAAAAGATTGGCCCAGTCTCAAAACCACAAGGGGAAGAGGCTTTCTCTGGTTATGCGCTCTTTTCCTTGTGCCCAGACAAAAACAAATCAATGGGGATAGTACAAAAGGAGCATGGATGTGGAGATGGGACGCCGAGTGGAGTCCATTCAATTGGGTATGTTGTTTGTTTGAGGAGAGCTCCCTCAGAATGGGTGGGTTTTCCCTTTGGGTTTCCCTATAAACCACAAAGAAAAGACCCCAACCCGGGTTTTTATCCGACTTGTCCCTTGTGCGAGAGCCAACACGGAAAGGCCATTGAGAGGGAGCCGGCAATGGATGCTTTCAAGTTGCGACTGACACAATTTTCTACAACTTAGCTGGGCTGCTTCTTGGCTCTGGATCTGGATATTCAATTTTGTCTATTTGCGTAAGGCCTCTGGCACAAATAAACATGTTTACCAGTAGTGATAGATTCTCTTTGAAATCAACAGGGAAAAACAACATATTCTTCAGCAAATGGAAGATTTGACTTCGGAGCTATCTTGAGGGACGAACAGTGGCCACAATTGCCCAGTGATGCTGGTTCGTAAGGAGAACTACCCTCTTGGGGTTGACCATGTTTAGCGGGAGCCCACCATACAAACATGGAAAACGGGCAATTCTGATCATATCAGTCCCTCTAAGCATGGATCCAACAGATCTAGCCTGGAGTCAAAAGCCACTGGCCAGTACTCAGTGTGCCCCAAACCGACCTTCGAATCTGTTCTCATGGGCATTTAAGGAATGCGCCGTAACGTATGCCCCTTCCTACAACAAATGATGGAGCACTACGGTGAATATTGAGTGTTGCTCATGACGAACAGGCATGCTTGTCGCTAAAGCTGTGCCAGTTTGTCTCTCTGATATTGTCCCAATCCAGGGGAACCTCCTGGGTATTTATTTCAGCTTCCCTTACAAACAACAACATGGGTACATTCCCTAAACAGGCACGCCTGCCTGGTGCAAACGACTCGAGTCGCTGCAGTGTCCACCCACAGGTCCGTGCCGTCGTTTCAACATGCAGGCTACGCTCGGAAAACCTCGAACCAGTCAGAAGAACGCAGATAGGCCGACTCACACCCAGAGCTAAGGATGTACTTAGACCCCTTTCGACCCCCCAAAAGCCATCCTCAGAAGGTACTTGAACCTTCTGGGACAGGCACAGCAAAGACGGAATGTAAACCGCAGGGTCCCGGCCGGCCACAAATCCACTATCTCAATGGGGCCACTGGCAACCCAAGCAGCTGCTTCAAGCTGCAAGGGAAGCATCCTGACACCTTGTAGAACTTCCTTCCTTAAATGGAAACTCAACCACTAAACCAACTGAACAAATCTAACAAAAAGGCTAAACCTTTTGGCTGGGCACCACCAAGAAACCTCCACCCTCAAACTACCCTGAAAAATGGGATTTCACCCCAATCACTTTGGGGCGGCAGCCCATGCTTGAGGGAAATTTCGAGGGTCTGGCTGGCTTGACCGAGGGAGACCTTCCGGCCTCCATGTTCTCCAGGGTCTTGAGCTGGGCCCACTGAGTCTCGGACAGCCAGCTCCTGACAAACATCGAGCACTTGCTACCACCAGCAGCCGAAACTCGACATGCGGCTTCGAAATCACACAGGACCGAAACATGGTGCGAACGAGCGAACACATTACAAACATGATTATATCTCACATTAAGGTGAGTAGTCTATATATTACTACCTCCACAACCGCGTCCTAAGTGTTTAGGCCCGCAACTGGGTCGCTCTTCCCCTTCAGCAAAAGGTATATTTGTTTGGTAGGTTTAAAGACAGCACCATTTGCTTCAAAAAGGTTTCTCCTGTTGACCAATTTGGTCACACCGGTCAAAGCCATAGTTCTATCTGCACTGCACCTTCCCTATTGCCGAACACCCAGGCAAAAACATTTCTGAGCAGAAGGGTGGGTGAACAGAATGAGGAACAAACCCTACCGTGTCGCGGGGCTTGACCACTTCTCCGATACAGAAAGGGCTTCCCAAAGACCAAGAGATCAGAGATGCCCTCATGACTCAAATGGCCGTGGCTCAAAACCCCCGGTACCAAAACGGGTTGCCCTGGTAAGTGGAAACATGCACCAACACCTGCGGATTGCCCCCCCCCTGTCCCATTTTTGAGCCACGCCCAAATCACCACCTCGATCCCCCGAGGAAATCGATTCCCCCCCCCCCCGCCTGGCGTTCTCCGGCATCGCCGGGGGGTTGGGATCCGGAGGGCAGCGGATCAGCGTGTCGCGCTCCTCGCCGGTGATCTTCCCCGCCTCCAGCGGAACACCCGGCCGAGTTTGTGTGCGCTTGTGAGGTACCCCCCGGTGGGGGGGTTCCCCTTAAACCAGCCCCAAAGAAAGCTCAGATGCCCGGTGTCCATGGGGGAAAAAGGGCATCCGACTTTTTTTGGTTGAGTTTCAAGTGGAACCCTTCCCGTAAACAAAAAAAAGGAAAAAGGGCACCACTGGGCAACTGGGAAAGCGTACCCTCAAACAACGACACACCCTAACTTCAACAACTGATTGAAAAACCTGCTCCAGTACAAGGGTGTTCCCTTCAAAAGTGATTGACCCCGACTCAAAGGGGGCCCTGCCCTATTCATTAAGCAGGAATTTAGTCATCCCGGGTTCTCCTACTTCAAGAACACACGCTCTTTGTGGTATGTCAAACAAGCCGGTTTTCCATAGCAAATACATCCTTTCTTAGTCAGGGGTAAGCATCATGCCTTCAAACCTGTGGGCGGGTGTATCGACCCTGCTTCTAAATTTGGGGAGTTTGACAATGCTCGGGCATCAGCAATACCCGATTTCTCAGCAGAGATTATGAACCGGGGGAAATCATCTGAAGCCTGACAAACCTGCAGGATTCCACTTTTTGCCAACCAGGGCTGGATGGCGCTCAAGATACAAGGATCCAGCACGGCATTTGGGGAGGGTTCCCTTGTTCATCTTGTCCCTGCTGGGTGTTCGGTTCACAAAGTCTTTCATGCGAGGCAGGTGAGGTGTTTCAAATGTCAGATCAGCGGGCTGCATCCCTGGACTGGCAACAAATCGATTTCACAGTTTCATGTACCTTTCTCGGGAACATAGGGGAAACTTCCCCACTCTTTCTAGGCATCCTTCTTTCTAGAAAACCACCAAACACCCTGGGGAAATGGCTGGTTTTTGAAAAGGATGATGGCTGAAAAGAATGGGGAATCAACCCCTAGAACACATGGCTAGGGGTTTCCTCCAAAAGGGTGGTGGACGCAGGGGTGTCGGGTGTCTTTGTGCCCAAAAAGGCGAGTCCCTGGGTGTCTGGCGCGAGCCAGGATGTTCATGCACATCATGCTCACCACGGTCAGCTTGTCCGAGTCCAGCAAACCTCGCCGCGTGTAGTTCCACACGAAGTAGGTGATCACATTCTGCAGCCTTGGAATCATGTCGTGGGTTTGGCGGTGGTGGTCAAAAATCGGGACCCCCCCACCGACTAACATGGAAGTGCAAGAAGGCCCTTTCCAAGAGGAAAGTAGTCTTTCTACAGGGGTCTGTGCACTTCCATGTTAGCTGGTGGGAGAATAACTTGCTCTGGTAAATGAAAAGGACGGTGCAACCAGCTGATTCCCCCCTGGTCCCGTGGGGGCTTACTTTTGACCTGAACCCATTTCATATTCCTGTGCTTCCAGTCACCAGTGGCCAACCGGGGGTACCATACGTGAACATCACGCAAAAGCTGAAGGGCAGCCATAAGCAAACTAACGAACCACAACTAGTGTGGCAACTAGCTGGCAACGGGGTGTGGCAATCTCCTTGACATTAACATCAAGTCAGTGGTGTCCTATCTGACTAGCGCCTACAAGCAGCAAGCACTGGCAGGGGCATGCAGTCTGCCAGTCTGGCAGTCTGCCCGCCCAGCCGCAGGCGTTACAAACAATCTGCGCCCGCAAGGGAAGGTCTTAGTATCTTCCTCTTTGGAGTATGAATCATTGCCTGATCTCCACTGGTGTTTCCACCTGTCTGACATCAACTTGACAGTTGCAAAGCTAACACACACACACACACACACCAACCGGCTGAAACTAAGGCGCCCATGGATTCTGGGGGTTGGCAAGATTTGGGGCATATTGGTGCTCCCTCAAAAGGGAAACCGGCGCCAGGGCCCCAAAACATGGTTCCTCGAAGGATGCATCCAAAATCCACCAGTGTTTCCCGGGGTCCTCCAGATCAGCTCGCAAAGGTTCGACTTTTCGACTGGCAATCTATCCCAGAGGTTAGAATCAGGATACCCTTTTTTCTGTAGTCTAGGGGAACCCTCCCCCAAAGAAGAAACGGCAAAAGGGCACCTAGCTGGGGGACCTAGTTTATCCTTTTCCTTGGCCTCGATTTGTTCGGGGCCAGTTGAACGCCCTGGTCGAGTGGCAGATCCACTCGCAGCTTCAGGTCTTTGCCTGTGAGCTCGATGATCTCTTCCTGAGCGAAACCGGGTCCCAGACCCCGAGTTCGCCTCCCGGTTGCCCTCATGGCCCTGGGAAATGGAATCAACCCCACCTGAAGCAGTGGAACCCATCGATTTTTAATCAAGCTAACCTAAAAGGGACACCTATGCTCATGGTTTGGATCTGTGGCTTCAAGATGTTGCTTTGCGTAGACCCCACAACACCCAAAGAGGAACCAAACCTCCGAATGCAACCAATCCACCAATCTGAGTAATATTGTACAGTTCTAAGGAGTGAAGTGGCTAAGAAGTATCTCAACTTACAGGTTTGGTCTGAAAACTTGCATAAGATGGCCAGGCTCCATCTTGTAGCTACCTGACGACTTCAACCACCTCATTCCTAGCAAACCCCTGGGTTATTCAAACTAGGTCCTCCAGTAGAGAGGTTACAATAAGGGTACCCTTTTTCTGTAGTCTTTTTCAGTAGGGGAACCCTCCCCAAAAAAAGGGTAAAAGGGCACCTAGCAAACCTTCGCGGATTTTGTTTAATCCAGGCTGGACCCGATTTGTTGGAAGTTTCGTGAGGTCCCCTTCGCCCCATGCAACTCTCCCAAGAGGTGAGCAGCTCCAAGTCAGTTTTGGGCGCAAGCCAAGGGAAAAGAACAAAAATAGCAACAACAGAAAAACACGTTGACACCGATTGAAACTGGAAGAAAACAGTGCGCTGCTGCGCTGGGTCTCAACCCCCCCCCCCCCCGCCCCCCGTTCCTGGTGGGCATAGCGGAAAAAAAGGCAATGGGAGTGAGAGCCCAATTCCCGGCCGAGGCCAAACATCAAGCCTTCCCGCATAGAGGGAACAAGCATGAGCTAAACGATGACCCCACCTCCCCCGAATTGGAGTGAGAGCCCAACTCTTTTCTTGGTAGTTGACTTTTAACCCCCCACCCCCCCACCCAACCCCCCCCCGAATTGGAGTGAGTGACTCTTCCAAAAATCAGTCGAACACAGGCGACAAATCGCAAGCTGCCAAAAAACGCCAGCTGCCAAACAAATCTGCCTCGCCTCCTCTTCCTCCTCTGGAGGGGCCTCCTCAGCCTCCGCCTCCTCGTCCCCATCTTCCATCTCCTCAGGAAGCGACCCGCTTCGAGTGGACACGCGCGGTGGGTTTTTGGTTGGCCTTGGTCCATGTTGCATGTCTTTGCGCTTCCCTTTCGTTCTCATTGTGTTTCAGCACCTTGTCTGGGTATGGGTCAAAATTGCACCACCACAAAAATGGACCGCAGGTGTTAGTAGTTGTTTTCATGAACCAGGGCAACCCACTTTGGGCTTACTCTCTTATTGACGACCACACCCTTCTCTTTTCATCCGTTGCTTCCTCTGCTTGCTTGTCCTCAATTTGCTCAAGCCACCTAAAAAAACACATATTTCCAGTAGTCATAGATTGCCTTTAAACCCAACAATGGAAAACTGAGATGCCCTCAAATCCCCTGCTAAAAGTTTAACTTTTAGTGGTGTAGTGAACAAAAACGCCACTAAACCAACTACAAACCTAAAAACCTAAGGTTAACAAACAGGGGTTGATGAAAATGGGATTAATGTGGAGTCCACACTATTGAAAAAGCGCCGCCAATCAACTAAAAACCAAAAAAACAAAAAACCTAAGAAACAGGACGGCCGAGAACCACCAAGGAAACAACACATAATATTCATTTCAGCCAATGGAAACTTCTCGCTTTGGCTCACCAATTCCCCCCGTCCTCGTCGTCGCCTCCCTCGCCCTCGGCCGGCTCTTCCGCCTTCGGCTCCTCCTTGACCTCCTCGAAAGACGCGCGCGCGGAAGGACAAACCGAGGAACGCGGTGACCCAAGCCAAAATGCGCGGTGTGTGTGTGTGTGTGTTTTTATTCACGTCATGGGTGCTACTTGCAGGGGCGATCGGTACTTAGTAAGTGGTTAGTAAGCCCACAAAAGCCATGGTTATGGTTATAAGTCATCTACCAAGTATGGTGTATTTTTCCCACAACATGGCTGTGGTGTCAAAACCCTGTACCCCTGCCCAGAACATCAAAATAGGTGGTACATGGGTGTTCGATCCGCCCCAAAATGGAGGCATGGGTTATGACCCATGGCCACATGGGTGCTATTGCAGGGGCGATCGATTAGTAGGTGGTTACTAAGCCAGGTAAAAGAATCCCACTTCAGCCATGGTAGTCTCCACTACGTGGGTTATAACCTGGCTTTCTCTGCGCCAAAGCGCCCTGCCCCTTTCCGTAGTTGGATTCCAGTCTCAACAACATGGGCGCCAACTTGGCCTGGAAAAAGTAAAAGATGTGAACCATCCACTTTTGGCTTCCCTTGGGAAAATAAACAAGTATATGGGGTTGACAAAGCAATCAGTTCGGGGATACAGGAGAGATTCTATCCACCGAGTACTTCAACTCAATTTAGGGGCCAGGAATATAGATCAGCCCCCACATAAACCAATCGTTTCAACAACCTCATGGCTGGTGTTCTTCAAAGGGTACCAGGGGAAGTCAACCCCTTAACTAGCTTCGGTTACTCGCTCAACAAGATCTCACACACGGGTTCTAGACTGTTCAATGCTCGCTACTCACGATTGCTCTACAAGTAGAACATAATGAGAATATCACCCCGATTCGCTCCCTGAGCAGATTGGCCAAACAAGAAGCAAACACACTGTTGGCTGGTTTACCGATGAAGCGGCATTCCCTAAAAAGTATAAGGTCAGGAACTCAGGGGGTGAGCCTAAATACAGGGACCCCGCAATACTAAAATGGGGCTTGCACAAATGGCTTGACATTCCGACCGAGGTGTCTCCTTGGAACTGCGGCATTCCCAAAGTGGGGCGTGCTTTGTGTTGTGCCGCTTAACATCCGCAGCTCCCAGTGGCGCATTGGACAGTGCGCAGTGCTGCCATGCTCACAGCTTCTTCGGCGTCGCCATGCAAACTAGACCAGTGAAGTAGCTATAGGCTTGCCCAGAAAGCAACTGGATGTGCCCTACTGAAGAGAGACACAGGGTGAAAATGGGGCACACCCAGTTCAAATGGACAATCCCCGTCTTCAAATTGAGCACGTCTTGGCTCGTCGGGGACGCTCGCTGATTCCCTTGGCGTCCGTCCTTCGGCTTGCGTAGCGTCACGCTGTTCACGGCGCGGGTCACAACCTCAGAACACAAGAGGACAAGCAGCGACTGATTGGGTCCATTACTGGGTTTTCAGTCGAGAGGTTAGAATAAGGGTGCCCTTTTTTCTGTAGTCTATTTTTGTAGGGGAACCCTCCCCTAAAAAAGGGTAAAAGGGCACTAATGGGGGACATAGATTAAAATGACAGCCAAGTTACCCTCTACAAGCGCCCTAAAAGCGATTTCGAAAAGCCCTCAAACTGCCGTTATTCTACGTGAAAGGGTGCTGATTGCCTACATGTTTCGTGCAGCTCAGCGGCCATGACGTAGGCATCCAGGGAGTACTTGTAGAAGGTGTGCATGTTGCCTTGGCATACGAGCGTAGCACGATATAAGCAGGCATTGCCGGTAGAGGCGGTTGATCGAACACCAACAAACATATGCGCTCATTCGGTATCCCCTTCGAATTTGAGACAAACCGAAGAGTACTGCGTGGATACTCCAGGCCCGGATGCCAGTGTGTTCCAACAGCGACCACCTCAAACTCACCCGAAACCACAACAGCGACCACCTCAAACTAACCCGAAACTAGAGACATAACCCTCATAGGCAGGGAGCCTTTGATATTTGAGGATTTGATGTACATAAATATATATATATATATATACTCCACAACATCTGCAAGCTGTGCCGCCCAACTCGCAGCGTCTTTTTGTCGCCTAATTGTCCCCTTCAGCCTTGCAACATCACACAAAGAAGCTTGAGTAAAACACGCCAACCAGATGACGCTTCCACATACAATCCCAAACCACTCATGTAGCGACCTCCTCAGTTCCCGGATGTTCTTCTAGGCCTGTTTGTACATGCCCTTGTACATGCCCGGCGAAATGACCCCAAACTGCTAACTGTTGTTGTCGCCCCAAGAAGCGCCTGCGCCCATTCTAGATTCTATGTAGATGGTTTCCATTGCCCGGAAACACTACACCAGACGTTTGACGGGGATATAGTGCCACCGGGCTGTCCTCAGGCCCCCTTCCAAAAGTTATTCTGTTTTGGACTTGTGGCTCAATTGGAAACCCAACCACTAAGCCAAGTAAAAATCTAGGGCGTGATTCCTCTTCCATTCCTTTCAACCATCGTTCTTTTCAAAGACCAGCAGTTTTCCTGGGTTTCCGGAGGTTTTATAGAAAGAAGGTTCCCTAAAAAGAATGGAAGTGGAAGGTACCCCTAAGAATCCCTAAAACCCCAAGGAACCGATTCGCCAAGCCCGCTGGCCACGAGCCATGGGTGTGCCTTGTTTTAGGGCCCAATTGGTAGGTTTCCTGGTGGTTTCTATTTTGAAACCAGCCAACAGGGGGTACCCCCAAAAAAGAATAACTCATATTGTACATTATACCAGATTACCCTTCTGGTTTGGTCGAACAACTCGGAGCGACCCTGTGCAAGCCAAAGGCAACCTCGAGGGTCGTCTTCCAAAATCGCTCTGCCCGCTTCGATTGTTGGAAAGAGGCAAACAAACGCACAAGCAAAGAACCAAGGGCTCTGAGCTTTACGTCTGCCATACCAGCTCTTTCAACGAAACCAAAGAAACATCTATCCGCAGCCCACATTTGGCAATGATTATAGAGAACTAGGACATCAATGGGAATTCCAAAGGGACACATCTATTAAACGCACCGAGCTTGGGAATGATCATACTGGGCTTCCCTCAGATCCCCTGCCACTTGACTGGATGCCTGGCCAAACTACCATCCGCATACGCAACACGGGTATCTGAACCCTCAATCTACCTTGAAAAACAATCAAAAAGTCACCCATTTGTTTTAAGGGGTATAATCCATGCTTAAGGGAAGTTTGAGGATTCAGGGGTACCTGGAGTCTCCATGACCCCTAGAAAAAGGGGTCGTTTAATCCCTCAATTTTGGGTAATGCCGCCCATGTTGAAAGGGTAGTATGGAGACTCCAGGTAGATTCCCTTTCTAGGTCCTCCAGTAGAGAGGTTCGAATAAGGGTACCCTTTCTTTCTGTAAGACATATCTTAAATTTAGTAGGGGAACCCTCGCAACCAAAAAAGTTGGTAAAGAAAGGGCACCTGGGGGCTCTGAACTTCACGTCGAGGAGCATAAGCTCATGAGTTGGAAGAAGAGCAAAGAGCCCCTGGCGCCGGTGGGTCGGTAGAACTCCGAGGTCTCGTTGATCTTCAGCTCCGTCTCCTCGCCGATCCAAAAGACACGAGAGATGGCTCGTGGCTCGTGGTCTCGTGTTTTTTTGGTAGGAAGCTGAGGACCTAGATGGGTGGGGCCTCTTTCCCGCTAAAACCACGAAAAAAGGAACCCTCGAACAAAGAACGCACCCATATGATACTGACAGGACTGACAATCTTGAAGGGATGTACGCAACTTGGAGGGACATAGAGATTTACTGGGCCCCGACCCCGTGATGAACAGCGTCAACCCACTTCGGGGCGGCCCGATTGAAATTTCTAAGCCTCAAAGTCAACTGCATCACCAAAGAGACAACTTGCTGGTGCGACAGGTATGGAATGATCCACGGTTTTGGGAATGAATTGGAAGGGGATACATGGGTCATTCCCTATTCTCTGTTGAGAACTCGCAAAAGAAGAAGGAGACGTGAGTATGGAGCCTTGACTTCAGATGTGTTTTCTACCCGAGCGTTTGAAGACAGCAGCAACCAAAGAACCAGGAACATCTATGGATGAACGTTTTTTTTGGGTTTTTTTTCCCCGGGTGCCTAAACATGGACCAGGAGAACACCATATCGCCAAGCGGCATTGGGCAAGCTGACCATCCAAGTAAACCAGGAAAATATGCAGATCGTGTCTGTCTTGTGACTTCTGATCTGTATTTTGCAGGTTGTGAAGCACCCTATAAACCCTATTCGCACAAGTTCGTCAGCTCTGATCAACGGCTGACTCACAGCATAAGTCTCCCACCCCTCGCCTTGCGGGCAAGGACCACAACTGAGGTCGTGGTTCCCCCCAGCGGTGCGATGGGAACAACTTGGGGGGGGCGGGGGTCGCAAAATGCAAGAGGAACAATAAAATGGGTGTGTGTCAAAATATGGCCTTTGGTGTCCCTTTGAACCAGGCTTGAACGCTACCCTGAAAGGCACACACACACACACACCACACACCACGCACCACACACCATGGCGTGGGTCTGCCACCTGTAGATGACAAAGATTGCTTGTAGACCTCGTCTTCTAAGCTGCATGGAGCAAGCGACGGGGCTTAACTGTTGGTCCTTCGCGTATCTGTCTTTGGTACTCTTTTCGAACGACAGCACTTCTACCTGTGGTCCTTTGAACCAGCAACTCTTGTAGTTGCTTGCTAAATGACTGTCTTGTTGCACTGAATTCGGAGCAGTGTAGGACGATCTAGAAACCTTTGCAACTCCTTCCTGAAAGCAGATCCGCATGTTTTCATATTTTGATTAAAAGAGGGTGTATATATGTGTATATATATATATATATTATACATCACTTGCAAGCTCCACCCTGATCTGGGGCCATTTCATATGATGGCGAAATGATTGAACCGCAGCTTGACACACATGTCGACATTGGCCATGTCCAAGCCGGCAAAACGTACAGTAAGCTCAGCGATAGCTCAGCGTACTGTGTGATCTTGCAAATGCGAATTATCAGAAAACAAAACACTTTGAACACCTTATCATAAAATAACTCGCAGAATGGACATCTGCGAGGGCTATATAATTGGAAAATGCTTGGCAAGCAGGAGCTTGCCTCTCAAATCGAAACGATTTTTGAGTTGCTTCGAAAGAGGGGAGTTGAGCAAGCACGATTGGGAGTGTCGATGTCGAACCTCTCCTCAGCCAGAAGATCCTCACAGAAAGCCTCAGGAAGCAGCCGTTCTACTTGGCTCGCTTCGCACCGGGGGCCTTCCAATGCGCTCACCTCACCCAGCCGTTTCCCGCCTTCCAATGGGCTCACCTCCCCCAGCCGTCCAAAGAGGCGAGTTTCATCTCCCAAAGGCTGCTTCTGGGGCTGGGCTTCGAGTCGTTCATGCAGCCTTGGCAAGATGTACCACTTCCAGGCAGGAAGCACCTTCACGGATGCACCAAACATGTGTGGGCTTGCTTAAGAAAGAAACCCGCTGCCTTTTTGAATGACCTTTCTTGTGTCGTTTTGGAAACCAAAGGGAAAAGCAGCAATTTTGGGGGCCCGATTCCAAAGAAAAGACGAGCCGCCCAAAATTTGCAAACGTGGAAGGGTGAGCTACGTCAAGGCACCGTCGCAGCCAGGAAGACGGCCAGCAGCAAGTTTGTCGCCGGCGGCGGCAAATGCCACAGGCCCCGGGCAGACAAGCCGCCCACAGCGGTGTCGAAGCACCGTTCCCAGGAAATCCCAACCAGCATCCCCAAGGACGAGATGATTGTGCGAATTGCTTGGTCCATCTGGGCAATGGCACCAAATGGTTATTGTTCTGGGTGAAGCTCATTTGCTTGATGTCATTTTCAGGTGTGTGTGTGTGTGTTCATGTTCATGTTCATATTCATGAGCATGTGCACGAGCGTGTGCATGTGCGTATGCGTGTGCGTGTGCGTGCGCGGGCGAGTGTGCGTGTGCGTGTGCGTGTGCGTGTGCGTGTGCGTGCGAGTGCGCGTGCGCGTGTGCGTGCGCGTGTGCGCGTGCGTGTGCGTGTGTGCGTGGGCGTGTGTTTGTTTGTGTGTGTGCGTGGGTGTTTGTGTGTGTGTGTGTGTGCGCGTGCGTGTGTGTGTGTGCGCGTGTGTGCGCGTGTGTGTGCGTGTGTGTGTGCGTGTGTGCGTGTGTGCGTGTGTGCGTGCGTGCGTGCGTGCGTGCATGTGTGTGTGTGTGGGTGCGTGCGTGCGTGCGTGCGTGCGTGGGTGTGTGTGTGTGTGTGTGTTCGTGTGCATGCGTGCGTGTTTTTGCAGAAGCGGATTTAGCTTCCATATTTGCAGGGTTCATTTATCATTGATGAGTTTGTGTCATTTTGGGGTGGGGGACGGGGGCATTGCCAATATAGGTGGGCATTTCGAGGGATGTCTCAAAGCTCTTAGCCACAAGATCTCTGAAAAGGATGCAGAGTCTCTGCACAAGACCTTGCTTTCGCCTACGCTGTCATGCTGGGCGGACGGTTTACCTATGTTTGCACTTAGCAGGGGTGGGGGGGGCATGGGAGAAAGCGAGAAAGCAAGAAAGTGGGAATCTGGGAAGCGTATGAGCCTGAACCATTCAATTTGTTATGTGTTTCCAACATCGGTGGTTCCATGTTGTGTTCAGCAAGTGCTTGCGGGGGTTTGAAAGTGACAAAGTGTGTGTGTGTGTGTGTTTTAGTATTGAGTAAGGTTATGTCTTAGAAAACAATGTGTTCTGAGGCGCTGTGTTTTTTTCTTTTTAATATGGTGATATGCTCATGCATTATTGAACCTGAACTTCTGTTGATGGACACGTGTGCCACTTTATGCGGCCTTCACATTCAATTCAGGTTTGACAACGTTGCTGTTTAACATATGCTGTATTAGTCTTTCTATTGCTCACAATCAATCGTTGCCATTCGCTGCATTATGTTTGTGTTTGTGCGTGTTTCTCTATACCGGTGTTGCTTTCCAAACAGGACAAGGGGGTGTTCCTCCGTTAAACTGTTCTAGCAGGTGAACAACTTCCCATGTCGAACATTGGCCATTGCCTTTCATTGTCTCTACAATATATGAAGGGGTTCTTTAGAAAGGACTTGTGATGTTTAAGGGCTGCCTCTTTAGAATTGACTTGTGACATACTGTAGTTCAGGTGTTGCAAACAACTGATTTATCTTAATCACATCATAACTTACATATGTACAACTTTGTTATATGTTGGAGGTCTCAAACGAAACATTCATCCAGTTGAACCGCAAAGACCTTTGCAACACATATATATATATATATATATATGTATAATTAATATATATATATATATGTGTACGTCTCTCACAACATCAATTGCTACGCGGTCTTCGTACAGGGTACAACGCAAATGGTCAAAAGTTGCACCCTGCCGCACCCAAAGCCATGCCGATCCCTGGCGGTTTTCGAGTGTGACAAGTTGCGACAGTAATTAAGATCACCTCTCTGGCACGCGCAGTCAGAATGCACTTCCATGTTAGAAACAATAAGCAAGCCAGCACAGTCAACATGGCGCGTATGTCAATGTGAGCCCCTATCGAACCCAGGCCAAGTTCTCTCACCGTAGTCGACACTGCTTTGGGAAACCAAGGGTTTCGTGGCTGCCCTTGATATCGAGAGCAAAAGAACTTGGGCACCAACCATAGCAATGGAGGAAAATTATCTACTGGGAACTCGACAAATTGAGCACTTGATGCATCTTTCTGAACCCTCGAACTACCCTTAGAAATGCAAATTCACACCAAAGCTCTGGGGCTACAACCCCATCTTGAGGGATTTTTCAGGGGTCGGCTTGCTTCTACAAGACCATGTTGCACAGGTCCGCGCCTCGACGTCGTCCTGCATGTCTGCCAGCTTATCCAGGCCAAAGATCAAGACAAAGGCAAAGCAGGTGCTGAACAAGGCACTGACTACGGCCTTGATGGAAGCATCCAAATGAAGGTTCGAGGCAATCCACCAATCCTGGGCTGCTCGTTTTCAGATCCCCTGCTAAAAGTCACTCACTTTTAGTGAGTGAAATGAAAATCCAACCACTAACCCCAAAAAGCCAAAAAGCTAACAAGCTAAGGGGATGGCTGGGAGCCACCAAGAATCTACGGAGATGTGCAGGCACCAGGCAAAGCTCATTGCTGAAATCTTCGGCAACCAATGCACACTTCGATCATGAGAGGTGGACTCTTCACTCACAGCGCGCCCGAACATCCCAGTCCGTGAATGAGCCAGTCTGGCCATCTCGGCCGAGCCCAAGACGAGGCCCACCATAAAGAGCAAAGCGCAGGATCCATTTGAGTGCCTCAGTTGCACGGACACAGAAATAGAAGGCTAACCTTTTGGGGCAATGACTTGACATGGGCCAAAAACAAGAAAAGTGGACAGTCGAAAGGTCAGCCTTGGTCGAATAAGGTGCCATTGGTTCTCTTCAGGATCCTCTCCAGAAGCCTGTGGCAGTTCACCTGTGATGCACAGCCGCAGCAGCTGCGAAACCAGGAAGGAAATGGACAAAGAAATGACTTCATCCTCTGTCTCCGCAACATGCTCACCCCAAATCACCTCGAACTCATCCTCTTCCCCATCAGCCATTGTCTTTTGGAAGCGCCAATGCTCGGTCACTTTGTAGATCCCGGAAATCCCTGCGAAGGCAGCCGCGGGAACTGCGAAGCGCAACGCAGACAGAACCGCTTGTTGCAGGGTGCTCCACGCATTCACCGCAGCAAAGCCGGTCACGTGCCCCAGCAAAATGCTCCAGGCATGCGTATTCAACTTGATGTTTTGCCTAGGATTGCTTCAAGCAATTTGCCTTGTCTAGACAAAAACACCACTTGGCCGGAGGAAACTACTACCAACAGGAAGATCATGACATTCACTAAGTTCTCCAATTCCTTCAACTTCGTTTCCGCGTGGCCCAGGTGCAGTGATCGCAACTGCTGGCACTCGCAACTCTCTGCGCGTGACAAGGACTCACGCCGCTCCGAAGGCAACCGGTGCTCTCCCAAGGCCCCAGAATAGTACGCCAGCACCAGCTGCAGAAGTGCAAACCAGAGCCTGGCTTGCTGAGGGTTTAGGGTTTAGGGTTTAGGAGCTCTCCAAGAACCCTCCAACATGCCTTTTGAGAGTACGGACCCCAAATGAAAGGATTTTTCATGGGAGGGTTGGGGCATGCTCAAAAGGTATGTTGGAGGCTTGGATGATAGGGGTATTGATCAATCCATATGGCCCGTTACACTCAATGAAGAGGAAACCTTTCCAAACAAAAAGATCACCAAGTCCACAACAAGTAGCAACATATGCAGCATGTTCATCGCGACTCGCTGCCAAATCGAGATGCCACCAAGGAAGTAGTACTCCCAAATGCGGTTGCAGCTCTGGAAGAGCAGAAGGGCTCCAAAAACGCTTGTGGTGGAACTAATGACTTCCCAAGAGATCTGCTGAATGTCGTCATCTGGCCAATTCACCAAGTAGAAGGTTGCCATGATAAAGCCCATGCAGCCCAACAGCATCATTGAGATGCAGGTGTTTTCCTTGGTTGCTGTTGACCCCCCCTGCAAAAAGTGAATAACTGTTGGGGGGGGGGGGGTAGTAGAAAACTACCTTTATTTCAACCAAAAAGTGTTAAAGTCTAAAGATCCGACCCAATAGCTGTCCAGTTTCCGCCTCTTCGATAGCGGCATCATGGTCGTTGGTTTCCAAGGGCGGAGCACTCGGCTCCTGATGCGAACATCGTGATAAGGCGAGTGCCAGGACCAAGGCAAGCAGCACGAAGCGACGGCGCCGTGGAGAGCGGCCCATAGCGACGGCGCCCAAGCGATGGGGCTGTGGGTCAAAACCCAAAACCTCCAGTGAACATCCGATTCAATCCAACCACTAAAATAGGTTCTAAAATGGGTGGTGAATTCACCTACCAACCAAAATGGTACCATTGGTGTTGACCCACGGCCATGGAGCGAACTGCTTCGAAGAAATCTGCGCGAGTAAATGTGCTGCTGAAGATGTCATTCTTCTTCGGAGCCGTCAACGGCTGATAGGCGACAACACCATACATCACCGATCACCGGGTGCGCATTCTGAAACACGACACCTGTGGAGTCTCCATGACCCACTGAACATAGACATGGGGTCATTCCTCCAAAGAAAGGAGTCATGGCGCCATTTCAGGCTCACGGAGACTCCAAGTTGGCTTACATGTTGACCTAACTTTGTCAGTCCGGTCAAACCTGACAAACAAACAAAAGCAGTCGATCCGCGGACTCCGAAAATGAGGTCCGGCTTTTAGTAATTTAGCTCACCAGCTTTCCGCGGAAACCCCGGAAAGTCTACCAGTTTACTATAGGAGCCGGGGTTGAGGCTGAACGAAAAAGGGCACGGAGCTGCGGGCCGGGTCATGGCCCAAGTGGCTTGGTGGGTCTCTCTTTCCATAGGCGTCCTTTTAGGGGAAATACATGGGTTTCACTGGCAGATGAGAAAAAACAACCAGGTAAACCAGGAATCGCCATCTATTTGGGTGTGGCTCAAAATTAAAAAGGAGGGGTTACGCAGGTTTTGGTCCATGTTTCCACTTACCAGGGTCCATTTTGGTACCGGTTTTTTGAGCCACAGCCAATTGTTCGATCAAAACAGCCAAAAAGGACCCCTATGTCTCTCTCAGTCAGGCCTGCGCCACCACCACCTTCTCCTTGACCTCATCACTGGTCCTCAGTCCCAGTCGAGAAACCGGAGAATTCCCACGGGGCGGGAAACTGGTCGCGTCTTCTCCCGCAAGGCACCGGGTCTTTCCACAAAACGACTCAGCCAAACCCAAGGAACCGGATGGCTGAGAACCACCAAGGAAACAGCACATATTCTGTTGCGAAATCTGCTCCCCGAAAAGTTGCTAACTTCTAGTGGTTTAATTTGGAAAGCCCACATTAGTTGGCTAAAGTTGATCAGTCCGAACATCCAAGCAGAATGCACCAAAGAAAGCATGGGTTGGCTCGTCAAGTTGGCGTTTGGACCTTCAGTTGGTGTTGTTCCTTTGGTTTCCCTTTGAAGCAACCTCAGAGCGGGCACCCCTCAACAAAACGGTAGTGGATATCCGGTCTAACCCCTTTGAGACACCTCAGATTGCAGACCTAAAACAAAGAACAATGCATGAACACCAAGTAGCACCAAGGTCAAACTGCTTAATGCACATCTGCCCTGCGCTATTCCGTTGGAGCTGTCCAACGAGTGTAGCAAACTTCACTAGGCCCATCTTAGGCGTCACTGGCACGCTAGACTCCTAGATGTTCAGCTCCACCAGCCACTGGAGTCAGGCACTGGACAAGGTCCCTCACAAATTCAGACGCTCCGTCCAACTCTCACTTCTTTCCCCCAACGGGACATTTAGTCAGTCCAGCATAGCCCAGTGAGCCTTTTTTGCTTCGGACAGTTTTAGCGAGTCCGATTGGACATACCGTGGACGCACGACATCCATTTTGCACCTAAGAAAACCCTGGTTTCTGTTTCGATTCTCCTGTACATCCGCCGACAACAGGCGGCGTGTTGGACATAAGAAATGCTCCTTACCTCTTTACCTGTTACCCCTCCCCTAACCCCTCCCCAGGGGCAGCATTTCAGACTATTGCGGGGGGGGGGTCCACGTACCACGCGGTGATTCGAAGACGCTTCACTAAATCTGTTCATTGTGCGGGCTTGCGCAACTCAGTTTGTCAAAAACATTGGGGTGTTCGATTCCCCCCGGGTGCGCTTTCGCATCCTTAGCAGCTCCAGCGGCACATCGCCAGCAACACCTGCATTTTCCGCATCAGCGCCTGCCAAGGATGCGGATGATGCAAGTGATGCTGGGGGTGTTGCCTATGCTGGTGAACCCCCCCCCCAGTTCCTTGTTGAGATCATTTATTTCCCCCCTTTTCCTTCTAAGGCCTTTTCCCACCCTCAGTTCTTCTCCCTTTTCCTCCCAAAGATCTTTCCCCCCCTTTCCTCCCTAAGTCCTTTTCCCTGAGTTCGTCTCCCTTTGCCTCCCTAAGATCTCTTCCCCCCTTTCCCGCTTAAGATCCTTGCCCCCGTTTCCCCCCTAAGGCCTTTTCCCCCCAAGATCTCCACCCTTCTCTTCCCAAAGTTTTTTTCTCTCTTTCCCGATTGAGATCCTGTCCCCCGATTGCCCCTTAGGGCCTGTTCCCCCCGAGAAAGATTTCCCTTTTCCTCCCAAAGATCTTTTCCCCCCTTTCCCCCTTAAGGCATTTTTTCCCCAGATCTTCTCCCTTTCCTCCCTGAGATCTTTCCCCCCCTTTCGCTGTTGAGATCCTTTCCCCCTTTCCCCCCTTCATTTCCAGATCTTAGGGAGGAAAGGCAGAAGATCTGGGGCAAAAAGGCCTTAGGGGGGAAAGGGGAGAAATGATCTCAACAGGGCAAGGGGTGGAAAAGATCTTCGGGAGGAAAGGGAGAAGATCTGGGGAAAAAAGGCCAACAGGGAAAGGGGGGAAAAGATCTTAGGAAGGAAAAGCGAGAAGCTCTCAGGGGGGAAAGGCCTTGGGAGGGAAAGGGGGGAAAGGATCTCAACAGGGAAAGGGTGGGAAAGATCTTAGGGAGGAAAGGGGGGGAGATTTAGGTTGAGATCCTTTCCCCCCTTTCCCTCCCAAGGCCTTTCCCCCCCATGAGAGCTTCTCCCTGTTCCTTCCTAAGATCTTTTCCCCCCTTTCCCTGTTGGGCTTCCCCCCCTAAGTCCTTTTCTCCCAGATCTTCTCCCTTTCCTCCCTAAGATCTTCCCCCCCCTTTCCTTCCTAAGATTGTTTCCCCCCTTTCCCTGTTGAGATCCTTCCCACCCTTTCCCCCTGAGGCCTTTCCCCCCCTGAGAGCTTCTCCTTCCTTAGATCTTTCCCCCCTGTCCCTGTTGGCCTTTTTTCCCCCAGATCTTCTCCCTTTCCTCCCTAAGATCTTTTCCACCCCTTTCCCTGTTGAGATCATTTCTCCCCTTTCCCCCCTAAGGCCTTTGCCCCCAGATCTTCTCCCTTTCCTCCCTAAGATCTTTCCCCCCCTTTCCCTGCTCAGATCCTTTCCCCCCTTTCCCCCCTAAGGCCTTTCCCCCCCTGAGATCTTCTCCCTTTTCCTCCCTAAGATCTTTTGCCATTTTTCCCTGTTGAGATCCATCCCCCCTTTCCCCCCTAAGGCCCTTTCTCCCTCTGAGTTTTTCCCTTTTCCTCCCCACGATGTTTTCCCCCCTCTCCCTGTTGAGATCCTTTCCCTCCTTTCCCCCCTAAGGCCTTTTTTCCCCCTGCGATCTTCCCCCTTTTCCTTCCTAAGATCTTTTCCCCCCTTTCCTTGTTGAGATCCTTTCCCGCCCTTTCCCCCCTAAGGCGTTTTCCCCCCCAAGATCTTCTCCCTTTTCCTCCCTAAGATCCTTTGCCCCCTTTCCCTGTTGAGATCCTTTCCCCCCTTTCCCCCCTAAGGCCTTCCCCCCCCTGAGATCTTGTCCCTTGTCCTCCCCAAGATCTTTTCCCCCGAGATCTTCTCCCCTCCCTTTTCCTCCCTAGGATCTTCTCCCACTTTTCCCTGTTGAGCTCCTTTCCCCCTTTTCCCCCTAAGGCCTTTTCAGATCTTCTCCCTTTTCCTCCCTAAGATCCTTTGCCCCCTGTCCCTGTTGAGATCCTTTCCCCCTTTCCCCCCTAAGGCCTTTTCCCTGCCTGGGACCTTCTCCCTTTTTCACTGAGATCTTTCCCCCTTTTTTTCTCTGTTGAGATCCTTTCCCCTCTTTCCCCCCTACGGCCTTTCCCCCCGCTGAGATCTTCTTCCTATTCCTCCTTAAGATCCTTTGCCCCCTTTCCCTGTTGAGATCCTTTCCCCCCTTCCCTTTAAGGCCTTTCCAGATCTTCTCCCTTTCCTTCCTAAGATTGTTTCCCCCCTTTCCCTGTTGAGATCCTTCCCACCCTTTCCCCCCTCAGGCCTTTCCCCCCCCTGAGAGCTTCTCCCTTTTCCTTCCTTAGGTCTTTCCCCCCTTTCCCTGTTGGCCTTTTTTCTCCCAGATCTTCTCCCTTTCCGCCCTAAGATCTTTTCCACCCCTTTCCCTGTTGAGATCATTTCTCCCCTTTCCCCCCTAAGGCCTTTGTCCCCAGATCTTCTCCCTTTCCTCCCTAAGATCTTCCCCCCCCCCGCTGAGATCCTTTTCCCCCTTTCCCCCCTAAGGCCTTTCCCCCCCCTGAGAGCTTCTCCCTTTTCCTTCCTAAATCTTTTCCCCCCTTTCCCTGTTGGGCTTTCCCCCCTAAGTCCTTTTCTCCCAGATCTTCTCCCTGAAAGGGAGACGATCTGGGAGATCTTAGGGAGGCAAAGGGAGAAGATCTCAGGGGGGAAAAGGCCTTAGGGGGGAAAGGGGGGAAAGGATCTCAACAGGGAGAGGAGTGAAAACATCTTAGGGAGGAAAAGGGAAAAAAACAGAGGGAGAAAAGGCCTTCGGGCGGAAAGGGGGAATGGATCTCAACAAAGAAAGGGGGGGAAAAATCTCAGAGGGGAAGGGGGCAAGGGGACAATTCCAAAGGGACGCAAATAAGAAAGCAGGCCTGTAATGTCGGCGGCCTGAGCCGGAGGCACTAAAATACCAACCAACCATTATTTTTTCCCATGGGTTTCAAATTGGTGCCAACGGATTCCGTCCACCCACCCACAGTATGGACCGGACGTGCGGGCCCCGCAAAATGCGCCCGAGCCCACGTGGCCGCCACGAAAAAAATCGGCTCGATCTGATCTGCAGCGAGGCTCTTTTTGGCCTCCTCCAAGCTGAGGATCAGCTCGGTATCCTGGCGCTGGCTCGCTCGACTAACTTGGTGGACGTGGAACGGGGAGCAAAAAAACAAATGTTAACAGTTGAGTGGTTGGATTTCAACCACTAAACCACAACAAGCAAAAATGTAAACCGACTGCCTTAACTTGGTTGACGTTGAAAGGGGAGCAAAAACTTAAATGTTTGCAGTTTAGTGGGGATTTCAACCACTAAACCACAAGTAAAAATTCAAATTTAGCAGTTGAGTGGGGAATTCTGTTTCCCGACAATAGCCGAGTTAAGCAGCTGAAGCATTTCGCCGTTTGCCGAAGGACCCGGAAATAGCAGGTGGAGCTTTTGGGAGCTTCACCAAAACTGGACCAACAGGGGAAACCCAAAAGGTCAAAAGGTCGGCTTTGGGCAACTGAATGTAGAATCCCTTTTGGGGATCCAATGTAGATTTTGGGGTAAAGCCTGGAAAGAAAACTGGGGTAGTGGATGAGAATTGACTTCAGGCCCTGCAAATCGAGCAACTGTTGGATGAGGCTCCTACCCAAAACCCGTGGTTGAAAGCCTCAACAGGGCGGTGGTCGCAAGACTTCATGCCCCAATCCTCGGGTCTTGCTGTGTTCGTGCTTCCTCACAAGAACCGCGATCTGTCAAAACAATCCCACATCCATGCCCACGTCCAACATCCCCTGCTCCCTCCCCGGTTCTCCCTAAGACAAAGCTTGGCGGAGAGGGAGGTCTCATGTGCACTGTGATGGCTGGGTTCCCCCGAAGCTCCCCCATATGTTACCGTGAATTTTGCCAAAGGGCCAAAGGTGTGTTAAACATACACCACAAGGCCGCCTTGGGCGGTAAGGTTGGAAGGTAGTGCGCCCTGGTGCTGTTGAGCTCCCTTCAACTCTCATGCTGCAAGTACACAATCACAAATCAACACCGGATGCTCCGTGTTCCCTTCTTGCCATATGCAACCTCATGGAAGTACACAGGATTGCTGTGGAAGACTCGCAACATGATCATGAAAAGGCCCTCTGACCACCTATAAAAAAGAAGAAAAGCGGTTAAGCGTCACTGGCCGCGTCCATCATTGGCATCGTCCGCTTTACTTGGTTGCAACCCTCCCCTGACTCGCTCCTTCCCAAGCGAGATCCTGTGACTTTGAGATACAAAAAAGAGTTCGGAGACAGGCACTCAGGGCATGCGAAACTTAGGCTTCCCCGAGGTCACTTGGTACCTCCCAAAAAAAACGGCGCTTCGAGATCCTCAGGTACCCCTTAGGCTCTGTTGAGGTTTGGGCATCCAGAATCGGGCGTGCTGGGGTCCGTTTGCTTGGGTTTAATTCGGCATACCCCAAATTTGTCGCTGGGCCGGGGCCTGTTGGGGGGGTGGGGAGTGCTTCCATGTGCTTGAGTCCCCTGGAAAACCTGGAAAATGCGAAAATATGTCCAGAACTGAGTGATCGATTCCCTGTTAAACCAACAGGGGAAACTATATTACATATTCATTTCAGCAAATGGAAAGGAGTTGTTTGGGGGGTGGGGAGCATAGATGGCCTTTTGGCAAAATAGATGGACCTGGTAAGAAAGATCCATCTAAACCAGTGGAACTCATCCATTTTGAACCAAAGTAGCCTCAAAATATATACAGGACGCCTATGGTGGGGAGTTTTGTTTGTCTGATAAACGATTCCCTTTAAAACCAAGCAGGAAAAGTAATTACATATTATTTTCAGCAAATCGATTTCCTTTAAAACCAACAGGGGAAAAGACAATTACATATGTTCCTTTCAGCAAATGGCTGTGGCTCAATAAAATGTACCCAAATGGCACCTGGGTAAATAGGGAAACAAAGATCAAAACCTGCATAACCCTAGTTCTGTAATTTTGAGCCATACCCATTTTCCTTTCAGCAAATGGAAGGAAGTCGAGTGGTTTTCTTCTGTTGCTGGTCCCAGGTGCATCCAGGATGTCTCCCTCGGCATTGGCCAGCTTCTCCAGCAGCAAGGACTCCAAATGCGCCAAGGTCACCTCTGCTTGGCGTCTCTTCCAAAGCTCACTTGAGTCACAATCAAAACGTTTCGCCCTTTGCTTGAGGGGGTCCAATTTTGGCCGGGTGTGTCGGTTTTGGGACCCCCTGCTTTTGGCTTGATTTAGGGGAAGCGTATCCTTTTAAAGGCCCCCAAAGACAAACCCATATGAGTCTAATCAAAGCCGATCAGAATTAAAATGGTCTACCCAGAACCATGTTGCAAGAATTAAGAAGGCGGCCGCAACTATTTCTGGCTGGGACTGCCCCTTACTATCCTTCATCTACCGGGATTTGAGCAAGTGGCTCACTTCCCTCACGTCCCTCAGATGCCCAGTGGATTTCCATGGGAAACAAGAATCGGCACACATTTTTTTGGGTTGGTTTCAGGGACACCCTTCCCCCAATAAAAAGGAAAAAAGGGCACCACTGGGCAACTGGGTTCCCAGCGAGCTCGGATTGGCCCAAAAAAGCTCTCAAACCGTTTGTTTACCACCAAAATGGTCCAAAAATGGTCCAAAAAACGGATTGGCCAAAAAATGGTCCCAACAAAAAAACAAAGTGACTTCCCTCAAATGCCCAGGTAATTTCCATGGGAAAAAAAGAATCGGCACCTTTTTTTGTTGGTTTACAGGGACACCCTCCCAAAAAAAGGAAACACTTGAGTCACAATCCAAACCCGGTATAAAATATGTAGGTCCTCCAGATTTGAGAGGATAGAATAAGTTGGTACCCTTTTCTTCTGTAGTCGATTTTACTGGGGAACCCTCCCGCAAAAAAGGGTAAAAGGGCACTACTGGGGGACTTGGTTGACATTTCTTCCAAGCCTCGCTTCCCATCGAGCTCGGATTGGCCAAAAAGTTGCCACACTGTTTCTGAACCAAAATGGTCCAAACCTAAAAAGTGACTAAAGTCCAACTCAGGAAGTGAGAAAGGCATTTGAACCCATTCAATCCAAAACCCAAAGGGAAAGCCTGCCTGACTTGTCTTCATGCTTCCGCTTTCTCAAGAAGCAAATTGCCTGGAAGTGATTTTGATGACCCTAAGTCCCAAAACGAAATCCTAGGGAATGACCTTCGTGCGGGACCCGCCAATTAAAGGGAAACAAACAAAGAAGGGCACACTTAGGAACTGAGAAGGCGCAAAATGCAAAATGATGTTCCGATTCGTGCCATGAAACTCATGAAAAGACGCCACCCTCACTGCTCTCTCCACACATCTCCGTTTTCTCCATATGCCGGTTGAGCAACAAATGGGAAGGAGGTTCCAACAAAGTGGCAAAAGAGGGTGCCTGACAGGTCTTGGAGAACCAGCCGACCCGATTCGTTTGACTTCTTTCGTCATGATACGAACTTGGGCATCTCATCGACTGATACGCCATTACCCTTTTGACCGCGCCTTCAAGAAGCTTGTTGATTCCGCTTCGGGCACTTAAGGCACCATCCCCCTCTTGGTGTCCTTTTGAGAAGGTTGACAGATATGAGCGATTCCCATGGATAGAGCTGACATCCTTTGTGGATTCCTTGTTTTTGGGAACCAATGGGGCCACAGTGCCCTGTGTTTTTTGTAAAGACAGGTGGGCATGAAAAAAGACAAGGGCACCCAAATGAACGGGCCAAACAAATCGGGATTTCCTCTTGAAGAATCCCGTTTTAGTTGGCTGGAAACCAATGGGGCCAATTCCGGACACGGAGCAACCCGAAAGAAAACAAACGATACGCGTCCAACTACGAACGATTTCTCCCAAGGCCTGCCTTGAACTCGTTCTGCTGCTGAATCAGCTCCGACTTCTTCTTGGCCAAGTCGGGCCTGCCGACAGAGCAGAGGGAACCATCCCTCGGTTGCTTTCTGCTCCCGTGCTAAAAGTGACTAACCTTCAGTGGTTTAATGGAAAACCATTAGTTGGCAAAAAGTTTAAAGTCCAAACATCCAAGAAAAATGCATCACAGATCCTTCTGCGAGCCGACGAAAAACGCAAGTCCCACAAAGATTCCTTGGGGCAATCTGAATGGACACCCAAATAGAAGGTTGCCCATGTTGAGGGTTCCATTTCAGGGGACAAACGCCTTAAATGGGATGTCAGTCTTGTCCCTGAGGTGATTGACATCCCGAACACTGGAATAGCTAATCCAGGTTGGGAACAAGGAAACACAGTGCATTCACTGATTGCTTTTTTGGTCAAAGCGTTTCTCCATAAGGGTCGAGACAAGGGAAACACAACAATGACGGGGCATGTCTTCGAGGGAAGATACTTTCCGTCTCGGTCCACTGATCCATCCCATCAGCTCTGCATCCAAATCTCCAGCAACCCTTTCAGACAAGAAATTCCCAAGACGACTCGAGTTGCCACAAAGAGAGTGGCACCTTTCTCCACATCAAGCCAACTTGTTCCTTGAATTTCCTCTTGGGAGCCCTAAAAAACATGGCACCCGCCCAACCCTCGCCAGCCGCCGGGTTTTGGCGAGAGAAGAAACTCGGGGCCCAAGCAAGCAGGCGGATCGGATCGGAGCGAGGGTCCGAGCCTCTCGAGCTTCACCACCAGGAACAGCAGCTGATCTTCCAATCCTCAGAAACCCCTCGCTTTCGAACGCGACCGGGTCCAACATGGTTACTGGGCGACCCATGGCTTCTAATTCAACGAGTAACAAGTGGGCTCCTGGTTCTTGGGCCAATTGGCTCAATTCAAATATGGGTTCCGCGCTGCAAATGTTCATGAGGATTAGCCCAAGAGTGGAAGCTATGCATGGGAATCGGAGGGCTCTGTGCCCGCCATCTCGAGGACCAGGCAACCTTTTTGTCGGGATGCCACTCAGGCGATATAGGCTGTGAATGGATATGCCTCTCAGCCGCCAAAGACTCTCTTCGACCTCTCCGTTTTCTGTGCCCGGAAGAAGCAGTTTGTATGTCTTTGGAATGCTCAAGCCATTCTGCACAAATTGAATTGCCCGGCCATGGGAAACTCGGGCACTCTTTCTAAGTGGTCGTGTTAAGCAGGTTAATGAAAGGGCACTTGACTGGACAAGAAAGGAAACTGACACCTTGTGCCAATCAAACGCACTGGAGCTTGCGTCCAAGCTGCCATCCTCAGTCACAGTGAAGTTGATGATGGTACATTCGGCCTGCCGAGTGCTGCATTTCCACTTCTCAAACTGGATGTCTGCACCTTGAAGGATGCAGGACAATTCTGCCTGGAGTGTCTCCACGACCCTTTGAACCAGGAAAACTCCGCTGCTTGGAGTCTTTTCAAACCATGGGATTGCCCAAACCTTGAGTCATGGAGCCTCCGCATCCCCCTTTGAGCCCGAGACATGACGAGAGCGCAGTATTCGCCTGCGACCCGCAGCCCAGCTTTCCGTAGTTTGTCAACTTGGGGGTTTTCTAGCGCACAAGAGGAATATCCTTTTGGCCCCATTGTGGAGAACACCGAAACGCATACTTCCATTTGGTTAAGACCCCTGAAAAAAATACATTAGTGATAGATTCCCTTCAAAACCAACAGGGGAAAATATAATAAAGCATATTCTTAAGCAAATGGAAATAATATGTTCAGATGTTGTTTCATATGCAGCCTAATTGTACCCAAGCATATTATGATGCTCTGTTTGGGTTCTTCCCATCATCTAACCCGGTGCACACAACAAATCGCGCAAGCTGGTACTTCTGCCTGAATCTCAGGAGGGTAGTGCGGGTTGGACAGCTTCGTCTGCATAAAGAGCTTGAAGCTGTTCTGGGCCGATGAGCCAAGGTCGATGTCTGCAATACCAGAGGGGGCCATGCCCAACACTACGTTGTCGCTTCAAAGGGGCTTCCTTGGCATCACAGATTCCGCACTAAAACCTGCTCTCAGACTATGCGGAGGCCAAGGACATGCGAACATTGGTGCGTTGGGTGTCGCAAGCTTCTGGTATTCTCCGGGGTCATTCTCTCTACTAGTACCCTTCACTTTGCATTTTCGGCATTCCTGAGCATTCCTGCCTGAATCTAGATGGCACGCACTTCGCTTGGGTAACGTGAAGAAATAAACGCATGGTTGCCTTGGAGTCCTGAGAAACCCAAAGCACCAATATGCTTTGAGCTTCCACCTGGCTGTTTCACACCTGCCCACCGGATCGAGGTTCTACATGTTGACACCCAAACCACTGCTCAGCTCTTCGTGGGATATGATGTATCCAAATACCACGCATCACATTACATGTTAAACAATATGCATTGTAGGTTGCCAGCAGGGCATCTTCTTCCGAGCATCAGGGTGCAAAACAGTGGCTGGGCCCAGTCAACTGCCCGCAGGGGGGACTTAGCATTTCGCCCAGTTTGAAAGCCATTTGGCTACGGGACAAAACCCCGTACCCCCAGTGAACATCCCAATCCCCACAAAAATAGACTAAAATGGGCGATGCACCTACCCAAAAATGGCACCATTGGTGTTGACCCACGGCCATTTGGGAGTATCATGATCTAGAAAAAGAGCTCAAGTTGCCCTGCTTTGCAACATCTGCTGAGGTTGCTGAAAGTTGGGGCTCACGTCTGCAGCAAAGCGGCGTTCAAGACGATTTCCTTGTCACCCAGCTTCACGACCCTCTTGTTGCCACGCTTGATGGTATTTCGAGATACCACCGGCATGATCACGGCATCAATGCCTTCAAGCCGATTTCACGCTGCGGGCAAGCCGACATAATCCAAACCGGACAAACACAAATGACAAAATACGCGCATCGAACCTGCCACATGGTTGTATTTGTGCGATGATCCTCTCATGATTCCATGTTTGCACTCGAACTGGTAATTGATTGTACTTCCAGGACCGTTTTTTGGGGGTCGCACTGGCCTCAAGGGCTTTGCCACCCATGTGTTGGAAGCGCACTGGCACGGATTTTCTGGATGAAAACATGCTCGCTTTGTATTGCTCGTTTCCGGAGGGTGCAGTGGATTCCACTATTGCAAGTTACCCAATCACAGTCCGTGGAAAAGCTCAAGGGGAGCAAAAGGCTCCCTACTCGCTTTGTGTCGAAAGAATCGCTGGCGGGGGAGGGGCCTTTGACCAGACCTTCTCATGGGCTCAAAATGTGCAGCTCTCCACAATTGACAGGAAGACAAGGGTCGGTCCTCATGGTTTGCATGGTTTAAACTGAGTGAGTCCCCGTACAAGTACATCCTGAAACCCAAGTTGACCACAAACAGAACAACGATTCGCGACCCAACTTCATATTGAGCACAAGCCACATCTCGAGGCTTCTCCACATGGGGACTGCCCTCTTGGATTGATTTTCCGTGGACGTCTGAAACAAACTCAGAACGAACATGGAGGGGCCCAAGTAACTATCGGTTGTCACTAATTCCGCAAACTTTGAAAGTACAGTACAACACCAAACCCTGCAATTCACCGGGGATTCCAACTTATTCCTTATCCCAAGCGAGGGGAAAAAACACATGCCAGTAGTGATAGACTAATAGATTCCCTTTAAAATAAACAAGGGAACACATATATATATATATAAACAATATTCTTAAGCAACTGGAAGTTATAGGCAATTCCTTCGGGCATTAGGTGTCCTACACGAACGGATCCGGGTGCGAAGCTTAATTCGCCCAGCGGCCCTCGCCCATGTTCTCAATGAGAACTGGCTTGCCCTGGTCCAGGGACATCTCGAAAGTGCTGAGCATCCTTAGTTCTAGGGGTTGATTCCAACCATTATTTTCATCCATCGTTCTTTTCAAAAACCGGGGTTTTGATGGTTTCCTGAAAAGAAGGATCCCTGGAAAGAAAGGGGAAGGTACCCCTAGATTAGTGGATAAATTCGAGGTCTTTCCGGTTGTCCCCTGGGCAAATGATGGCTAGGTCCTCCAGTAGAGATGTTAGAGGTTAGGGTACCAACTTTTTTTTCTGTAGAAACTATCTTAGTAGGGGAACCCTCCCAACCAAAAAAGGGGGAAAGGGCACCTGGCTGGGGGACCTAGCTGGCGAAAGAGAGCCACGGCTTCCAAGTCCATGCGCCCTCCGCAGCTCCTCAAAACTGGGAAAATGGCGGCGAGAGAGCACCATGGGTGACGAGCATCGGGAATGACTTCGGTTTCGCTGTTGGTGTCCCTTGGTTGCGACAACCTGAAAAGGGTACCCTCCGAAACAAGCAAACAAACAACCAACCAAGCAACCAAGCAAGCAAGCAAGCAAGCAAACCAACCTATATGAGCCATATGAGCCACATGAGCCACATGAGCCATATGAGCCATACGAGCCATGTGAGCAACACTCTAGACCCCTATCTTGTGACCTACTTGGATCGGTCCCTTCACCCTCTGGGCATTAAAGTGACATCCTCAAGCTTCGCATCTGGTGGTTTGATGCTCCAGCCGGGAGGGATAGGTGTGTACCTGAAAGAAACAAAAAACAAACGCTTAGGTCAAAAGGCAAGTAAGCCATGTTGAGTCCCCCAGTTTCAGATTGCAGAGGAGGACGGGAAAGCAGAGGTCCAATGCTGTCTGGACAAGCCGTCGAGGTGACCTCAAGCATGTGAAGATAGGCCCAGCGTAGGCTGCGGCTTGAAGAATCTTCCAATTCAGGAACGGGAAGCCCCTCGACTTCTTGCACGTTGTTTTTCTTCTTCGGGGCGCCCCGGGGGGGGGGGGAGGGGAAATGACTTTTCGCCATCGAACCTTTGCAGCTCTGCACAAGTTCCTTGCAATACAAACTGAGGCATCCCAGGGACCTTTACTTACCTCAAACACCTTATGCGTGACAAGAGTCTGAAGTTCTTAAACCCCAATTGCAACGTTCCACTGGATTCCCCTT